TGAGCACCGCAAGTGGCGGTCAAGCCGGGAAGTGCGCCGCACTTCGTTTGAACGTAGCCATAAAGTGGCTTGATGATACTTGCATAAAAAAGAGAGAAAACCAAAGCAAATTAAGACAGATAAGGTCAGCCTGCTTTTTAAAGAATGGCGGCTCGGACTGCAGGTGAGAAATTCAGCCAGTGTACTACGACTCCTAACCGGGTGTCGTTAACGAGCAGCACACAGTAATGTTTACTAACAAAATTGGGCAGTTTTTTTTATATGTACTGTACGCACCGGTGACAACTAGATGAGACGTAAACGTGTCGCTTCCAGCCCCGTTTGACACCTGGCAGCTGTAGTTGCCGATGTCTTCGGCGGAGACCCCGTGGACTGTTAGGGTTGCCATCTTGACAGACATCTGTTCAATGGTGAGTTTGGCACTCGTGTTGATCTGTCGGCCGTCCTTGAACCACTGAAATTTTAACGGCTGCTGTCCCTCTACCACAAAGCAGGAGGCAGCAACGTCCTTTCCAAGCGGCGGATTAGTGGGGAAGCTGAACGGCTGAATCTTTGGAGCGTCTGTAATATATGGAATTTAATTAGCGGATTCATTGTGCAATGTTTCCATATAAAACGGATTTTGGTGGAAGCAACGCCTGATGCTACATGATTGTTAACTCAGTACTGTATAGTATACTCCGTCGAAAAGCTGTTTTGCCAGGAGTGTCAGAAGTGGCGATAAAAGGAAATGGAAACAAAAAAGACGCTTGGTCTGTTCATTGTCTAAAAGAGAGACAGATACTCGTAAGATTGCTTTGTAGAGAATGACCGTATCTTTTAGCAACTCTTTCAAATGAGTGGTTACTCCGTGACTATTTCCTATATGCATTAAAAAAAAGTATATACGGGTTGAATCTGAGGCTTATAGGACATAATGATAATGAAAAAACAACATCATTTTGTATTGAGATACCGAGTTCAAAAGTGCAGTATAACTCACCCGAAGCCTGGAGGTGCCATATTTTTGTTAGGACTGTTGCGATGAATGCAAGAGTACGTCGGTTCGTATTTCTCATTGTGTTTGTAACACCTGGTAAGCGCGTCTCTAATGATGCAGGACACTCACGAAGTTACCACAGTATGTTATCAAAATCCGACCATTTCAAACACGTTAAGTGTACCACGAGAGCGAGCACAGCAACTCCCGCTCTTGTCTTGCTAATACACTTGCTAACGATATACTGAGAGCTATGGACACATACACCAGCGAACATCGCTTCGTAAAATACAGTCTGACGGACAACTAGCGCCACGTGGTGGAGCGCTGGACAAGCAGAACGTTCCTGTGGCGCTGAAATTCGATGTCTCTCTCTGGTGGAAAAAATATATTAAAAATAAAAATAAGGAGGATGGATGAAAGGCTCTGAAGTCCAATATTGTATAGTATACCATGTTCGTTAAAATCCCTGTAACTCACATGCTTTTGCCGCTAGATGAAGAAGCGCATACATGAGCTGTGATATAGAACAGTTCCGTATTTAAAACGAGTCTTCCTCAAATAAAGCTAAGGTGCTCCTTCGATCTACCGCTCAAACGTACCACATGCATTAGTGATATACGCGCAAATCTGGGGAGCATCACGTCCAGTGACGCCATCGTGTTAAGTCGCGGTTTCACGTGACGTCACGTGGCACAATGTCACGTGACCTGAGGTTACGCGATATGCTCACGCGACTTATTAGCCCCGAGAAGTTCGCGTGGCGCCCCCTTACGGCAAACCGGGGTGACGTCACGGCGAGGAGTGAATTTTTCTACGACTCGCGCCGCTCGCCCTGTGGAGGCTGTGACGACGCTAGCTGTCGGCGCGCTTGTTTCTATATTTTTTTTTCTGGCATGTTTTTCGTAGGAAGTATAACCGTTTATATGTGCCTTTATTGAGGTATGGCTTGTAGCTACAGGCGAAACTTCAACCAACATTTTAAACATGGTAGACAGGGCAGGCAACGCATGAATCGGAGCTGGTATATGAAAATACAGAAATATGGCCACAATTGCAGGAGCATCATTATAGATTTACATCTCACACACTAAACGCTGCTGATGGTTTGGATGAATTTGCAGGTTACGTATACTATTTTTTTTGTGTCTCCGTTTTTAAACAAGATCGCCGAAGCAGAAAAGCTGCATGCTGCTCGAGCAACATGCTAAATACAGTCTGGGCCATGGGGAGAGGATCACAAGTAAGACAGCCCAAGTGCAGGGGCAAAGGGAAAAAAACAAGGAACATTTAATATGTACATTGCTCGCATTTGACCTTTGCTGGATTCGGATAGTATTTCAATGCAATACACGGGTGGTATCTGTGGACTTGTTTATATCAACCCTCAAGTAATGTATAACAAACGTAGGTGAAGGTGTCTAGCTCGTTATTAGTCCATTAAGTCCTAAAATTGAGGTTTTACTTAAACCAAAATGTACTGAAGCTAAAATACCAGAAGCTTTTCTCACGCAGACTGTCGCCCTTCAATGGTTCCACATTTTATGCTACTAGTGCTGCATCTACCACTGGACAGACGTTCGAATCCTTGCTTTTACTCCTGCTTTCCTCTGTTGTCAGAGAGTCCAGCTGTAGGGAGTTTGGAGGCTGAGGAAGCTTTTGCAGACCTGCAGCAGTCTTTTTTAATTGGAAATGACAATTCAGACTAAACGGTGTATTTTCTGAATACCCAAGGCTGGAATAAAAATGTCAGGAAAAAATATAAACATTCCAAATTACGGCACTATTGCTGTGCATATTTTGGGCAGTTCAATACATAGCATACAGGCAACTGGAGGCAATTCGGCCGTCTTTGCTGCTACCATACAAACTAATTTCCAGTAATTGGAATCTTTTAAGAAATATGCCTGCATACATGTATAAACTATATAATTAATTCACGAAGAAGCTACATTTTTGTAAGACAACCCTGTTCCATGAGCACTTCAAAGATAATCAGACACAGGGCCTTTGAAACATCTGCGAACCAGAGCATGCAGAGTGGCAGCGCAAAGTCGGAGTCGCGAGCTCATTTGCCGACCACCCAAAGGCCCATTATATAAATTCCACTTCAAATGCCTTGAAAGCGGGATGTAATATCGTCCTAAATGATGAACGTGCAAGGAACAGAATTCCAGCGTCTGGAACACTTGCGGCACCGCTTCACCGATCCCTCGCAAAATTGCCTCCGTCGATTGCTTTCGGGATTTGTAACCCAATTTTAAAGGTAAAAGGGACGAGCAGGCTTATGAAATGTACGGGAGCACGTCAATATCGGCCTAACTTAACGTCTTGTACACCGGGAAAACGATGTCCAGCTCCTCGAAGAGCTTGCGGCGCACATCGCCAAACCAAGAAACCGGTGCTGGGAAGCGAGCCGATGCGAGATCGCGGAGCGGAGTACTCGCCCTGACGTCACGGTACGCCTCACCCAATCAGAGCGCGGCGACCGCAGCGACGCTTGTGTTCGCTCTCGGGGCTAATACCAGGCGTCGTTATAGGACAGGCTCCTCCCCCAAACCCTCCACTCTTTCCACTTTAGCTCTTTTGCAGAGAGAACGGTGGAGAGGAGGCAAGGAAGGACCCACCCCCTCTCCCGTGTACGCTTTTTTAATGCAGAAAAAGTGAAGGGCTTTGCGGGAAAAGCTTTTCCCGGGTTTCTTAACCAAGAGGGTTATAGTAACTACGTTTAGGTCACCTCATACCACAGCGTGACGTCACGTGACCAGGTGGCCCATAGCGGCCTTTCACTAAACTTAGCAGGACGTTAACTCGCTAAATTTAGCTGACGACGGCATGGTAGGGCGTTGCGACACAAATCCCAACCCGACTCTCAATATAATTTAAATTTATAAATAATGCATTCTGCATTAAGAGAAAAATCGGTGCGACCTCCGCGGTCGGGGAATAAAGAAATATCATTGGGTCAGTTGGACGCGGGCCGGGTGAGAGCTAAGGTTTCACATTTCTCCGGCTTCATTGCAACAAGTTACGAGAGATGCTTGTGTAGACAGTCCAACAGGGGTCTGTGACAAGGAGCACTACCTATGGAGGCATAGTCAGAGGTTAATTCGTCAGAATGACACCAATTTATACCCGTCGAGTCAAGAAATGCCCGTTGAGGGGTAAGAGTGACAAGACACCTACAGGTGGTCATTACTAGGAACGCTAGTGGCAAAGTACTAGGCACTAGGTACGTATACCTAAAACAACGAAGCTGGAACACACCTGTAACTAGGAGTTCGGACGTGAACCTGTCCGAACCGGCCGTGTTGCTGACGATGCAAGTGTAGTTGCCGATGTCTTCCGCGTCCACATCCAGTATGGTCAGTGAAGACAGTGCTTCGGAGAGAACTTTGACTTGCAGCTTCCTGTTGTTCGCCAGTGTGACGCCATCCTTGAGCCAGGTGAACTTGAAAGGTTCGCTTCCTTCCAAGATCGCGCAGTGCACTATCACTTTCTTCGGCATCTGCTCGTGTTTTGGAAAGACAAACGGCTGGATTCTGGGGGCATCTGGAACAAGGCATGGCTGAAGTTGCGATAGCCGTCCTGAGATAGGCTTAATTGACGTTCAAAGCAATGAGGGTCGACTTACCTGAACATTTTGACGTTGCGAGATTTGCAATGATAGTCAGAAGCAGTAATGATCCGGTCGACGTGCTCATTTTGGGAGTAAGGACCTTGTTGAATGAACTCGACGATGATACACGGATCATAAACTGTCTTCGTGTGCAGGCTCGGCGCTGCTGCATCGAGGCAGTATAAATGCACTCCCCTAGTTGTCCACAGTGGACAACTAACGCCACCTTGCGGTCAAGAGATGAAAGACTATGGAAACGGCACTCTGCTGTCAATTTTGGAGCGCGCGGCGCTTTTAAATCAAAGGCATCTGTTTTCTGGCACGCTATCAAGGAGCACACACACACACACACAAAAACTGTTGTACTTTGTAAAACTTCATAATGCGTTCGTACGTACGCACCCTTGACAAGAAGTTCGGACGTGAATCTGTCGCTTCCAACCGCGTTGGAAACCTGGCAGGTGTAGTTTCCGATGTCTTCTGCGGCTACCTCGCGAATCGTCAAAGTCGCTATCTTTCCCGATATGTGCTCGATGAGGAGCTTCGCATTGCTGGTGATCCGCCGACCATCCTTGAACCACTGAAACGTCAGCGGTTGTTGACCTTCCATCGCAAAACAGGAGACCACGACGTCTTTCCCAAGCGGATGGTTATGGGGGAAGTTGAATGACTGTATTTTGGGAAGCCCTGTACAGAAACCAAAACAAAGAATTTTGACAGGAAACTGCCAGTTCATCGGCAAAAATGCGGCGGTGTACTCTGAAATGTGGCTGGTTTGAAATCACACATTGAGCGACACTCAAGGAATGTCAGGGTGATGATATATGTATGTATATATATATATTTAAAGATAATCGTTATAGAGCACTGAGCATGACGTCAAGTAATTTTGGTATGTCACTGCAGCTGCATTTCTAGCCTCGTCCTGTGTGCCACCACGCATTCCTAGCCTAAGAAAGAAGGTGAATATCATCTTTCGCCAAGTTCCGATCGTGAATTAATATAATTGGCGTTCTACGTGCTCAAGCAGAATAAATGTAACGCAAACCGCCACACAAAAAAAAAAGACATTAGAGATTTAATTGAGCAGAAAAAGGGGTAACTAAAATTAAGGAATCGGTTGTTGAGTAGTTGTCATGCGAACTCCAAAGCTGGAGTTGAGCATTCTTGAGTCTCTCAACATCTCATAAAGGACGAGCGTGAAACTTGACTTACCGCTTTTACTTGCACTGATGGCGACCATTGCGCACAACGGGAGTAGAAGACGCACCGCGATGAGCATCTTTGACCAGGAGCCGGCGATATTGTTTGCATTCGAAAAGCGCTAAGCAAAGTATGCGGAGCGGGAATCTCTCTGCCCTATAGGTTGTTAAGTGCACTCTTTGTTTTATAGTGGCCTCAGAAACTCAGCTGCGGTGCGTTCTCTGCAGAGAAGCCAAGTAATTGTCAGTGCCCGATTCCTTCGCAAAATTTTGCAGGAACACTGACGTCATATGCCGCGACTGGTGGGAGTGTAGGATATGAGTTCACAAGGCGGACAACTAGCGCCGCGTAGTTGCACCGGTGTCAACTACAAGAACCCGTCAGGATCTCGGGCAGCGTTTCATAGCGTTGTGCGGGAAGACCAAACATGGACCAGGTGAAGTACGTTGTAAAGTACATAGCTGCACGCATTGTGTGTGCATAAACGGAAAGCAAGGATGTGAGAGAAAAGTACATTCTTTTTTTTTCTTTTTTTGCAAGGTAACATTTTATAGTTTATTATTTTTTATGTTATCAATATTACCTCATATGTCGAATATTTTAAACTGCAAAGCAAAATGTCAAAAATTTATATATATATATTTTTTTTCTATATATTTTATATGGATATTTTTTACACGCACACGTAGCAGTAAAAATCTGAGCCAGTTATCATGCTTATAAAAAGGTCTGGTAGTGTGCTGCCCTGTCATGCTGCGAGAACACTAGTCTTTGGGCTGCTTCGCTTCAGACTGAGATGGGTCGTTTCAATCTGTAGCGAAACACAGAAAAAGCAGACTTAAATGACTATTCAGCGTATCGCCTATCTGTGGCAAAACCGTCCACTATTTGCACGCTAAAAGAATAAAATATGGCTGGCCGCTTTAGCCGTTTTATCGGTCTACCTTTGACCGTGAGAGGCGCAGTGAAACTGTCTTCTCCCGCAGCATTGGAAACGGTACAGGTGTAGTTTCCGACGTCTTCAGCACCAACCGCCTCGATGACGAGGGTCGCGAAGGTTTCACTGACGGTCTTCGCGTATTTGGAGGACGTCGGCTGTAGGTCTCTGCCGTCCTGAACCCAACGAAACTTGAAAGGCCCATCGCCACCCACGGTGCCGCAATTCACGAGAGCTTTCTGACCCAGGGCAATGTTCTTCGAGAAGGCGAACGGCTGAACTTCGGGGGGCCCTATATCGCATTTTGGGGAGACAACAATAAAGGGATTCAGAGTCGACACGCACCATGCATTCTCGCTGCGTAAGGGAGCCTGTACTACTGATGGAGACGGGTCGGACACAAAGAAATATTAGTGCCTATTGAGATAGGACGCTCACCTATGCAGAGTATACTTGGGGCACAGCAGAAGAGAAACAGAACGGCCTGATGCACGAGAATCCGGAGCAACGTTTCAGCGTTCTTTTGATGTTCTGAGGACGCCATTCTTTCGTCCTGCCGAGTGCTAACGTTACTGAAACTGTTAACGCTGGAATTACTCATAGACAAGCTCTGGTTTGCTGAGACTATGGACAACTAGCGCCGCCTTGCGGTTGGAAATCCAACAAGAGCTGGCTGTACGAACGCTTGATGTGCACAGTGCCCACCCTGTGGCAGTGCGGGTTCTCAAAGCTTCGAAAAATGAGACGAAGGTATATACCCAAAATTTTCACGTCATAGCCGTTTATTCGCCAAATGACCAGAGTGCCGCTCACAGGCTTGTAATGAACCATCGTGGCCGGTTCGCTGTGATAAACACATGTGCATGATGGTGCAGTTGGACCAGCTATTAAGCATATAAGACTTCTTTCACCCACTCATGGCCCCATGCATTGTTTATAAATAAGAGTATTTGCCTACAGAGATTGTGGATGCTGCGCCTCTGTTTCCAACCAGTGTCGTCCTCTATGCGTGGCATCAGAAACGTAACCACTTGGGCAGTTCATGACTATTTTATAACCTTCCGCAATCAATGGCACCGGGTACGTGCTGCGAAGGTCCAATTGGCATGGACTTTGGGATCATGTTCTTTTATGAGTATTCTTTTACTCGTTTGCGTGCTGTGTTCCGCGGCCTTGCGCAAGACCCCGTGTGCTGAATTGGTACGTTCAGTAATGCGTACGAAGCGTTTGTCCCGTCCATGCGAGCTGCCAGACAGATCTCACCTTCTACCGCCAGTGCTGCCGAGTAGCTGCCGCTCCCAACGGCATTAGACACGATGCATGTGTAATTTCCCGAGTCTTCAGCAGTTATCCTTTCGATCGTCATGAGAGCTACGTTGTCGCTGAGGGTCCTGACGTGTTTCCTTGGCGTGTCTTCGATTGCCTTGCCATCATGGGTCCAAAGAAATCGGAAGGGCCCTTGGCCGCTGGAGGCGACGCAGGATAACGTCGACGTCTGCCCGAGAACAGAGTTTTTCGAAAACGAGAAAGGCATGATGTCGGGTTTGCCTGGAGAATAACCATTTTCCAATAATAGGGGATGCGGGAGAAATCGAGTCAGAAAAAGACTTGAAACGGACAACTCACCACCGTGGACGCTTGCCCGTGCCATGAAGGCGACACAAATGACGATTATCACCATCCTAATTTTTTTTCTTCATCCCGGATTAAAGAGGGGAGTGTTTGAATTTACACACCTCTGCTCGAATATTTTCCAGCAACTGTAAGCTAGCCCTCCCGTTTCATCTTGTCATTGTCACGGGACGCAAGGCGTCATTTCTCAGGTTCGCGAACGTAGCGGACTACTAGCGGCATATGGTGGCCACGTTTGGAACTCGCTTTCAATGTGGTTGGGATAGTACCTAAAACGCGCGCTGATACTAAATGTCTGGGAACTTCAGCCATTCGATGAGACCGGTGGCGACGACCCTCCTTCGTTAGCTTTCTTTAGAACTGCGATTGAAATGCCTCATTGGGTAGTTCGTGCAAATCCGTGAAGCAACGAAATCCGTACGATGATTCCAACCGTACGGGCTCAGACAAAACATCTCATGTGAAAATCAAGTAGTACATTGCGCGACACTGTTAGCGCGAACACGACTTCGTCGATTTTTCGCCTTTTACTTTAGAAGGGTACTGACGGGCATCAAAATTACTTAGGTGAATACCCCGACGGGGCACTTTCCACTACAATAGTAGTTTTGATGCCAGTTCAATTCAATAGCAAGAGAAACACAGAGAAAACTGGCGAAGGCTTGTTCGCGCTAACATTGTCGCCGAGTGTATATCTGTGTGTCCAGTATTGACGACTACGCAAAGCTAATGTACGTACGCAGACAAGCTTCATTACTAACCACGACGAATTGTATATTTCTGCAAAAACTCACCTTCGACCACTAGCGCAGCTGTATAGCTGTCCCTGCCCAAGCGAGTCGACGCCGTGCAGGTGTAGTTGCCCATGTCGTCAGCAGAAACCGTCTCGATGGTCAGCGTTGCGATGTTGGCAGTCACAAAGGTGGCGTACTTGGACGCGGTGTTCTCGACGCGTCTTCCGTTGTGGCTCCACTGAATCTCCAGCGACTCCGAATCACTAGTCACGGCACAGGTGAGCATAGCCTTCTGTCCCAAAGCAGCGTTTTTCGAGAAAGAGAACGGCATAATATCCGGCTTGCCTGGAACGCAGTAACCGCAGTTTAGAAAAAAGAAAGGTGACTTACGGCATTTATAATATCACACTACAAACAAATTCCGAATGAACGGTGATCATTGCTTACCACTTTGACTTGCGGCGAAGACGGAGCTCGTTGACAGGATCAGACCGTGTATAATGGAGATGACGCTGAACATCAGTACACCGCGTCTCCGCGACATTATTTAGTTGATTAGATTTTACAGCGATTTGTATGAATTTGTATGCAGCAACTTGTATGAAAAACGCGAGGATTACTATGCCTCCTGCGATTTAGACAGTGTCTTTGATGGAGTAGGAAAGGCGGCCTCCAAGCACCGTCCCGATATTTTAGAGCAAGCTGGATATACGGCGACGTCATTTGCCATGCACTTTGTACAATAAGGGGAAGTTCGATGGACAACTAGCGCCACGTAGCTGACGCACCGCAAACTAAACGTGCGACCACAATCTGGCGGCATCTCGCGCGAAGGCGACATGTGGGGTAGCCGGCCCTGGGATTTGAATCTTCGCCATACTGTAATTCTGTCGAAAAGCAGTAACACAGAAGCCTAAGTCGATTGATCTTCGACTATGTTTGTAGATACATAAACTTTTTATAGGCAAGACTATAAAAGGGGGACCATACAAACTAATCTCATTCATGTATTTGCATGCAAAATGTGACAACAGGTCAGATACCATAATGACTCATAATCCGAGTGGTAGGATTCGAGAATGCACATCATTAACATTGATGGTATTGTGCGTCTAAGCGCAATGGATTGTTAGCATACACGTTATTCATTATGTTATTTCTATACCTTTAACAGCTAGGGCCGCGGTGAAACTGTCTTGTCCCACTGCATTGGAAACGGAGCAAGTGTAGTTTCCGACGTCTTCGGCGCCAACCCTTTCGATGACCAGTGTTGCGATGGTTTCGCTCGCAGTCTTGACGTACTTGGAGGCCGTGGAGCGAAGCTCTTTTCCATCTTGAACCCAACGAAATTCGAACGGTCCGTCCCCGCTGACGGCACCGCAGTTTACCACCGCTTTCTGTCCGAGAGCAATATTCTTCGAGAAGGAGAACGGTTGGACTTCTGGCGGTCCTATTGGATTAAAATATATATATGTATTTGGGGTGTACGTGCTTCTCGCCCGTCCTACGGGAAGCGGTACTCTTTTATGTTCATAAAGCTCTAAAACAAAACAAACGAGAACAGTGCTGTTTGTTAACATCGGACTTACCGATAGAGTGTGTACCAGACGCAAGACACAGAAGATGGGCCAAGTGATGCAAGAAGATGGAGCTCATAACTTTGGCGTGTTGTCTGCGCGTCATCTTCGTGGACGCCATTTTGAAACGCTCCAGAGCCTGGCAATTCAACAACCGGGTAGTCCTTCCGTGCGGGTCGGTTCAGGGTGTCGAGACGTCGGACAACTAGCGCCGCATGTCGATAGAAACTTGAACGCATGCTCTTTGTAGCGCGCGTGTGATCTGTGCGATGCGCACTACACGGCAGTGGGCATCCAAAGAGTTTGCATCAAACGCGCCCGAAGGTATTCAGCACTTCAAACATTTGTTCGAGCGCAATGACACGCGAAAGTGCGCAGTTCAGGTGATTCAGGTAATTTACTGGTATACGATTAAGAGGTTTGGGAAGTACGGCCGATGTTTCCATCTTTCTGTTGGGAAGTGACATCGGCCCGAAGAGTGTCGGATCATATTGGCCCTTATGCAAGAAAGTTTCGGTCTCGCGACCAATCTTGTATGGTACATCCTTCTTTTGCAGGGGTTGTGGTGAGTCAGAACGCCGAGCTCTAATTGGCTCTGACTGAAGTCACAACAAACCCTGCGAAAGAAGCAGTCGAACTTGCGCTCCGTATAGTCATTGGCAGCTTAAAAAACGCTGGGCGTGGCCTGATTAGTGTTATGACGCTCCTTGCCTCGTGATTGGTTCTTCGGCGTTCTTGTCGTCTAATGCCGCAATCTTATTGGCTGCGGAGTGGTAGTAAGATGCTCAGGGCTCACCACTCTCTGCGGTTCTTAAGACGTCAGAGGCCATAGAGCTCCCTTATCCCGCTTCAGGCATAAATTATGGCTACGCTTTTTTTTTTTTGTATATTCTACAATTTGCAACGTGCAACTCAGGAGGTCACCTTCGACTACCAGCTCTGCTGAGTAGCTTCCGCTTCCGGCAGCGTTGGACACGGTGCATGTGTAGTTGCTCAAGTCTTCGGCGGCGATCCGCTCAATCGTCATGATGGCCACGTTCTCGCTGAGGGTCTTGACGTGTTTTCCTGGCGTATCCCTGATCGCCTGACCGTCCTGAGCCCAAAGGAAGTGGAAGGGGCCCTCTCCCAGGGACACCACGCAAGACACTGTCGCTTTTTGACCGAGGGCCGTGTTTTTGGAGAACGAGAACGGCATGATCTCTGGTTTTCCTGGAGGACGGAACAGAACGGTCAGGGAGTAGAGTTCAGCTCAGCGGATCGATCTAATAGCGTGCGATCGTGGGCGTAGGAGAAAGCACTCACCACCACCGTGGACAGCGCCTCGAACGACGAACACGACGAGAATGCATATCAAGCTTCGAATTGGGTGATACATTGAAGCTTCGCGACCTAGAGAAGCACTGACCACAATTTCATTCACACATCCGACCGTCAACAAGCATATGGACGCCAAGTAGCTTTCTGACGCCGTACCGGGGGGCTTTTTGAGATGCAACTAAAGTCTACACGGACAGCTAGCGCCACATAATAGCGGTGAGTGGAACTAAAACGATGAGCTCTCATTGTGTTTGTTGGTTTCGAGCAAACGGGGCTTCAAAAATGCCCGGAAACTCAACAAGCACATTTTTCAGGTGCACATAAAGAGTGAGTTTTTGTGTTGTGCCCGTTCTGTGACCCACACGGGCATTTGTGCCCCCGAAATTTATTGTTCATGTGCAGTCGAAGGAATACATCGAAAAATGTTTTCTTTGAAAAATCGCCAAAAGTTGTGATGACTGTCCTGCACGTGACCAACGAAATAAGACGGATGTATTTACTACAGCTCTTTAGTTAGTCCGTAATGCTCTACCCTCGGGATGCGGATATCATGGAGAAAGAATTGTACAACACTGAGTTATAACACTGAAATCCGTGCTATAGAAAACATTTCGACAAAAACAGGAATAGATTCCCGAACGTTTGCTTATTTTTGTTAAACAACGTTTAGAAATCAGTATCCTGATGACCAAAGGATAAGCAGGTGATAACCCATGCGACGGATGTGATGTGTCTAAGTATCATATCTGGTATCCATTGAAATATACGTCGATGCTTCTCCAGCCGATAACACAGCTCACCTTCCACAGCGAGTGTCGCGGAATAGCTGCTGCTTCCAGCATCGTTGTACACGGTACAGGTGTAGTTGCCCAGATCATCTGCAGCGACGCTTTCGATCGTCATGGCGGCTATGCTTTCTGTCAGGGTCTGGACGTGTATTCCAGCAATATTCTTGATGGCTTTCCCATCCTTGGTCCAGAGAAATCGAAACGGACCCAGGCCATCGGACACAACGCACGTCACCGTAGATTTCCGACCGATGGCCGAGTTTTTGGAAAACGAAAATGGAAGGATGTCTGGACGTCCTGAGAAAGAGGAAAAAACTTCTAAATGGTCAAGTTGCGAGTCTGTCAGCAGCAGGCTCACCTTTCTGCTCGGCCGTCACTGCGTCGAGCATGACGGGGACGCTTAGCACGAACCAGATGGCAAACATCCTTGTGTCACGTTTCTACCGGTGAGGGACTAGAACGATTTCTTCTGCCGTCTAGATTCGTCGACAGCGGATCCTCTGTCGTCGGTCTAGCGCTCAACATGACGGAGACGATTCATGACGTCATTTCTTCCCGTTTGGAATTGGGCGGGTTCGTGGGCAACTAGCGCCACATGGTATTGATGAGTCGAACTTCGGTCGACCGTGCATTTGAATTGTCAGCCGGCAGTTGTACATCCGAGTAGGGTTACGGCACTCGTGAGATGGAGTCTCATACTTAAAAAAAAACGTAGGCACAGGGAACGATATGTGAAGGTAAGAAACACTTTTCTAACATTGATGAATACGATTGCGTACCACTTCGATTCATGTTTGTGTTCGTCGCAGTGTCACCAAGAAGGAAAAGATGTCAGCTTCCAACATTAACCGTATAATTTTAGTCCTGCATGATCACTGTCGCTAGGACTCGTAAATGTACTGTCTCCGGTCCTACTATTGTTCGCCACTTCAGAGGGCGCGACGTATACTAAGCAGTACAGACATTACTTTTTAAAACAAGGAGCTCACGCCTGTTGAAGTGTGTAGCGAAAACTTGCGCGGCCTGGTGGCGGAAAGTTTAAACACAGAAACATGCACATCGTTGGAGTCGCGAACAAACAAATGCGTTCTGATATTATTTTTCCTCCTCTACCCCCCGATTTCATTCGCCAACAGCTCACCTTCTACAATGAGGACTGCCGAGTGGCTGTCTCTTCCGAAGCTGTTGCTCACAGTGCAGGTGTAGTTCCCCACGTCCTCCGCGTTCACCTTCTCGATGGTCACCGTCGCGATGTTTTCCGTGTTTTCCTTGACGTACCTGGACGCCTCGCTCACTAATGTTTTGCCGTTGTGAGTCCATTCGAAACCGAAGGGCCCCATTCCACCAATGACGACACAGGCGACGCTTGCTCGTTGACCCAAAGCGATGTTCTTCGAGAATGAAAATGGCTGTACCTCGGGCTTTTGAGCAAGGCGTGATGCAGCCGATCTTTCGTGACGATAGTTGAATTTGAGAGTAGACATCTTTGATGGCCGTATCGAGGCGGTGCAGTTGGTACCAAACGTGTCTCCAACCGCCGAAACATGTTCCATGTAGGCTTGCAGCGCGAACACCGCTGACACTAGTATCAAAGTTTTAATGTCCATAATAATGCGAGGTCGAGCAAAATGGGTTGCGAAATCCGCAGTTGCGGCTGTCGGGACAAACAACAAAATCGGGTGACGTCATAAATCGGTATCTCCTTCACGAGACTGGACAACTAGCGCCTCACTGCGTGAGTGTGATGAACTTACGTTCCAGCGGTATCCGAAGGACCAATTCTAAAAGAACGGTATAACATTATGACAACGCGAGGTGTCGCTACTGCACCACTATGAACGACAACAAATTCGGTTTGGTTGGTTGATTATTAAGTGTTCTATAGCACAGAAGCAACACGGGCCAAACTGCGCCAACAAATTCGTATACTGATAGGCTCCGGCTAGAGTAAGAAGTGGTAAACATATATACAAGTTAGCATGATGCCGATAAATTTGAATCTTTGTGAATTTTTGTGAATCCCTCAGGACTGCGCATCGTGTGTTGTAATAGGTACTCAAAATTGTTGTAACATTTTGCATATCAAGTTCATATCTCCAGCCGGCGACTTGAGTTCGCTAACAACGTACTCTGGGACACAAACATCGGCGAACATAATTCCGTAAAATATAGTAAGGATGGACGGATAGATACAGCTAAACTCTTTGAATCGCGCTCGTATTGTGCCATTGAGCCAGCACATTTAATAAAGAACAACTAGTTCCGTGGTGGGGCGTTAGAAAAACGAAATGTTTCTGCCGGAACTAATTTTGATGCGTGTTGACGCGGCGGGATCCTCCTAACCAGTGTTTACAAGAGACAGTGCGTAGAAGATTCCACCCACGAGCACGCGTTTGTAATGTTTCGTAAGCAGCAGTATTCAACTCCCAAGACCGGAGTGTCAAGAAAACTAAGGAAATTTTCAGTACAAGAAGAGAGCGACACTCATGTCTTTTCACGCTACGCTATTTTGTCTGGGTTCCCCCGTCCAAAAACAATCATCGTCGCTTGCTCCGAAAAACATGATTTCTGCGCTGAGCATGACTACATAGCCTTTCTTGTTTTACACAGGTGTACCTATGACACGTGCATATATCAGTAAACCCAAACTGTAAAGCTCCTCTCCTAGATAGTTTTATAACCGTCCGAAGTAAAGTGGAGCATCAAAATAATCCTAAAATTGTGTACAAGTAGTGCACGTAGAAAATATGTTATAAGCATTGCTATAGAAATGATGTCAAGATTCACATTGCGCCTGGTACTACTGGCGTAATGTATAACCTTGAGTTGAAGGATTAACACGAGTCGCTTTATCCATGCAGTGCTGCGAGGTTGTTGTTGGTCTACTTATGAGGGCAAGAATAATGAAAGATTCAGATGTGAAATCATGCAAGGAGTTAACTGCACGGCACAACCTTTTTTTCTACTTTCCGGTATCTTCCCGAGTTACCCGGCCGACGGACCGCAGCATAGGACTTTTTGCCTCGGTCGCTACAAATAGCTTGCAAAAAAAATAAAGAAAGTTAAGTGAAGTGCCGGGACTTTGCCACATTTTGGGAATACTTCTGGAAGGGTTTTTTTCAATGGGAGCTATAAATTTCAGCGTGGACGCACTTTGGTTTCGGTACACGAACAACGCCGTAGCATGCGTCTGAGCGGCGCAGCATTCAGAAACCTAATTTCAATTAACGTGCAAGTGTACCAGTTCTGTCTACGCGTATTTGATGAAATAATAGTGCAGCATAGCTGGACTGTAACATGCGCACGTTGACTTTTCTTAGAGACGTTGTGCTACCTTTGACTGTGAGGGCCGCGGTAAAGCTGTCTTCTCCCTCGGTGTTGGAAACGGTGCAAGTGTAGTTCCCCACGTCTTCGGCGCCGACCTTTTCGATGACCAGTGTCGCCACGGTTTCGCTTAAGGTTTTGACGTATATAGACGAAGTCGAATGCAGGTTTTTCCCGTCGTGAACCCAGCGGAACTTGAAAGGTCCGTCTCCATTTGTAGCACCGCAGTTCACCACCGCTTTCTGTCCCAGTGCTATGTTCTTCGAGAAGGAGAACGGTTGCACTTCGGGCGGTCCTATTGAGTTTGAAAAGAAAGTTTCGAAACGGGATATCATGATCGTACGTCATACTAAAACACTGAAACGCGTTTCCGCAAATGAAAATGTAATGGATCCTTTAACTCACCACCAGAGCGGGCGCACGGTGTGAAACAGAGCAGGATAAACGCCAAATAACGCACCAAGACAAAACCCATTATTTTGTCGCGTTGTAATGCCGACGTACGTCCTGTCTTCGTGGGCGCCATTTGTAAAGTCCTGAAACTGAGCAACTTGCAGGGGTGTGGAAAGGTACATTCGTGCACATTGCGGACAACTAGTGCCACATAGCGGCGAAAAAATGAATTTGCGGTTCTTTAGCGCGGATATGATGCGCGGGGTGAGCACCATATGGCAGTGTTCACCAAAAAGCCTTTGTCACCTAAATTTGTTACAGCTAAACCGTGAATGTGCTTCTCTGAGGACAGCCGTCAGGTAGCACCAGATAAAACTACAATATCCATTCCATATTACGTATTTTCGTATCTTAAATAAGCGCATGTTTCGTGTTTGGACTTGTTGGGGGCTAAAACTCGATGGAAATTGCGAAATCCCTGTTGCGTTTGAATATATGTAGAGTGTAGAAGAATGACACCCCCTGCATCCCGGGGTCCAACGTTATAGGAACGCAGCCAGAGAGAGCAGATGAGTGTGGTATACAGTACGAAAGGCGAAGCATGGGAAGCAAATGTTATACTTCTAATAAAATGTGAGTTGAGTAACTACGTTCTATGCATTTGTTCTAGTTATGGCTTCTAAGTTCATATAGTTTCGGAAAACATTAGTCATGCCGTCACCTTCAATGACCAGGGTTGCCGAGTGGCTGCTGCTTCCGGCTGCATTGGACACGGTGCATGTGTAGTTGCCCAAGTCTTCAGCAGTGACCTTCTCGATTGTCATGACCGCGACGTTCTCGGTAACGGTCTTCGTGTGCTTTCTTGGAGAGTCCTCGATTTCCTTGCCTTCCTGAGTCCAGTAAAAATCGAAGGGGCCCTGTCCGAAGGATACGACGCAGGACACTGTCGATTTCTGACCGAGGGCTGAGTTCGCGGAGAACGAAAAAGGCATGATGTCTGGCCTTCCTGGAGGGGGAAGACAAAATGACCATGCAGCGACTTTCTTCACGATGGATCGATAGATAATAACAATGAAATGTAGTGGAAACTAATGCTCACCACCGTGGACTGCGGCTCGAACGATGCACACGATGGAAGTGTAGGTCATCAAATTTGCGATCGAGGGATACATCGGAGCTTCCAGACAAAAGCGTAGCAGTGTCCCCAGCTCTAACATCCACGAGTTCACGATCACGAGCAAGTGAGCAGAGCGGTGCATCGCATACGTTGAGTTTGTGACGTCGCATTTGTCGAATTGAGGAGTTCAACGGACACCTAGCGCCACACAGTGCCGGCCAGTGAAACTACAACCGTGATGATGGCTTCATCGTGTCTCTTCATTTGCCGTGGCGTGGGAAGCGGGCTTTGTATAAGACACGCGGAGGCAGGCCGGCTGTAGTGAACAGCCTAGGTCTTCCTAAGGTGTACTTCATCACTGATGTAACGGTAGATGACAATGCACTGCTGTACCATCTCCTGCCGCAAAAACTCCGACTAGCACTTTTTTTACAGGGAAATCTACTTATTTGCGCTCTGCAAAGCCACATAAAATTAGAGTTTTCTAAAGGTTAGCAATGCACCGCTATAATTGCCATAATTAAGCGTCGCTAATGGCGAGACTGCAATATGTTGAGAACACTTTCATTTTTTCTAGTTGTTCCGATAGGTCCACGTGAAGTCGCTACAATTCAGCACAAGTCCGTTAATAGACGAGCTGCTGCGATAGCAGAAAGTACACACCAGGAGCCTCATGATGTGTTTGTTCTGGTTGTCATACCTGTACACGAAGAGTCTCTCACCTTCTACAACGAGCGCCGCGGAGTAGCTACTGCTCCCCATATCGTTGGAGACTGTGCAGGTGTAGTTGCCCAAGTCCTCAGCGGCGATGTTTTCGATCGTCATGGCGGCGATGTTCCCGGTCAGAGTCTCGACGTGCCTTCCGACGCTGTTCTTGACGATCTGGCCGTCCTTGGTCCAAGAGAAGCGAAAAGGACCCAGACCACCGGACACGACGCACGTCACCGTGGACTTCTGGCCAATGGCCGATTTCTTAGAGAACGAAAACGGGAGAATGTCTGGACCTCCTGGGACAGAGGAAATCGAGCCCACAGATGACGTAACTTCAGAGAGCAGTATTAACCGCATACATGCCAAAAGGAAGCCTAAAGCCGGGGTCACACTGCTAATAGGGAGTTTTAGGGAACCGTTTTTGCACCTCCGATACGGTACGGTGGGCCCTCCGGTACGAACTTCGCATGTGCGAGCCTCCTGTAGTGGCGCATGCGCAGTTCGTGCCAGAGGGCCCATCGTACCGTATCGGATGTGCAAAAACGGTTCCCTAAAACTCCCTAGTGCATCATACAAAGGACGGTCTGCAGACACTGTCTGGGGCGTCCTTGTATGACGGTGCCATTGCTCATACAAAAACTGTCTGCGGACATGTATGAAGCAAACATGCTTGGAACATGCGTGAGGCATGTCCGCAGGTGTCATCATGCCAGCAGCGAACTTTGTCTTTTGTATTGCCTATGAGCGGCGTAAGTGTGGCTTAGGGCACTGGGCTTACCTTCATGCTCGGCAGCCGTTGCTAGGAACACGACTGGGATTTCAAGCACCAACGCGCTAGTAGCGCACCACGCCGAAAGAATGAGAGGCCAACGAGAAATCATGGCGCTTTGCTGACTCGTTGCCAGTGCAATGCTCCGCCCGTCGCCGTCTCTCGGACGCTCAAGATGGCTGGGGGTATTTATGACGTCATTTCTTTTGAAGTTTGAATTCGGAGAGTTTAGCGGACAACTAGCGCCACATGGTAATGACCTCTCGGACTACGTCATATCTTGCGCTATTTTGAATGTTCTGTTGAACTTGACAGGCGTTTCGCGTTGGCACCATCTATGTGGCGCTTGAAGTAAAGCAAGTGTCATGACCGACGGTAGATAAGGTCGGACAGCTGACACTGTGCGTTTTATAACCCCGATCGAAGGCTGTCTTTGTTGTGAGGCAAAATAAAACAGAACTTCGCCCTCCGTCTCTGTTCGCAGTGTTTTAGCCATCCGGAAATCTCATAACGAGATGCTAGTAGTACACATATGAAGATGACACTTGTGTAGGCTGTGGACAAGGAAATTAAACTATTTGACATATTCTGATGGAAATCAAATGTATTCATTCAAATGATAAAGTCCTTATATCTACAGATAGCAGAGAAAATAAAAACACATTCGCTGTAGAAAACAATGGTTAGAAAAAAATGACGGTTTATAAACAGTGGAGAAACATGAAAGAAGGCATCGGAGGTATCGTAATCAAGGTAACGCGAGCATACGGAAATTTATTGCATCGGGATGCACATAAATATTTGTAGCAGTCGCGTTTGTTATTTCCTTGTTACAAATGGGCTCTTGACAAATCATCATCATTAAGACGCATAAATGAATGGTAGAGTTTTCAATTGTTTCTATCTTTTGTTTCGATTTATCCGAAATTCGTTGAGGTTGTGTGGCGAAAGCTTACCTTCCACAACAAGTGACGCCGAGTGGCTATCCTTCCCGAAGCTGTTGCTGACAGTACAGGTGTAGTTGCCGACATCTTCTGCGCTCACTTTCTGGATGATTACTGTGGCCATGTTCTCGGTGTTTTCTCTGACGTACTTGGACGCCTTGTTGACAATCTTCTTGCCGTTGTGAGTCCATTCGAAGCGGAACGGCTCAGATCCTCCGATGACGACACACGCCACGCTCGCTTTTTGACCCAGGGCGATGTTCTTCGAGAAAGAAAACGGTTGAATATCAGGCCTCTCAGGGAGTCGGGGTGTAGCCGCTCTTCGGTACCGCCGATTGGATTGAAGAGCAGGCCTGTCTGACTCCCTCAGTTCAGCTGGGAAGTCAGTCTTGACGTTGCTCTTGCTCGGTACAGCACCATTCAGGCACGCCAGCAACGCGAATGCTGCTAATATCGGAGCTCGGGCATCCATTTGCGTTTAAGATCTTGAACAAAACGTCAGTGTTCGGTTCACATATATGAGGTTTTGCGAGTTCTCGCAGGCTGTCGGTAAAGTAAGCGCAAGAGACGGGATCCGTTGACGTCATTCATAGGGGCCCTTCGCTACCGTGGACAACTAGCGCCACACTGCGTGGCCACGTACAACTAAAGGTGGTGTGTCGTTCGCTGTGCGGATTTTAAAAACGTGATAACGTGCGCAATGCATGTAGTATGCGGGGCGCCACAGTTTAGAACCGCAAAGAACGAAGCAGTAACGTTTTCTAGCGAATGAAGAAGAAGATAAAGTGTACCGATCTCCAGTGAGCTAAATGAGTACATTTTAGTGGTTAGTGCCATTCTGACAGCCTGCCTTAGCACCCGTAGTGCGCCGATACAAACGTCAGTCTACTAGGTAACCATACACATTTCCAGCGCGTACCACCGAGGCAAAAAAATCCGAGTCACTGAGCTGTGGCCGACGTATGCGCGTTGTCTCATATTAGCCAAAAGAGAATTCTTGCGCATCCGCAGAACGTCTTCCACCAGCAGACAGAGGTAGCAAGGCGCAGAAAATGATCACTGGAATTGTATATTATACAATGTCTCACCTTCCACCATCAGGGACGCAGAAGCACTGTCCCTCCCAGCTCCATTAGACACAGTGCAGGTGTAATTCCCGACGTCTTCAGCGGACACCTTCTCGATGGTCATCGTGGCGATGTCGTCGACCACAGTCCTCGCATACTTGGACGCCGTGTTGACGATCGGCCTGCCGTCCTGCGTCCAGGTGAACCGAAACGGCCCGTCGCCCCTGGTTGCGGAGCACGTCACGCTGGCCTTCTCTCCCAGATTCACGTTCGGTGGGAAAGAAAACGGTTGGATTTGTGGCTTGTCTGGAAGACAATGGGAGCACCGGAGTTGGTCATCTCGATCCTAGAATCTGTTCACCCCTAAGCTGAAATGGCGTTGGGAGCAACGCTTTCGCCGGACCAGTCAGCCGCCTCCCTTTCATCGCATGCCCCCGCTTTCTGCGCGTGGGTATGGGCTGGAGCGTGATCACGTGGTGACAGATCGACGTTCCGAGTGGTCCAACCAGCTTATAGCTTTCACTGCTTAGTCAGCTTAGGGGTGAATTGTGTATAGGAACTCCCCCGTGCATTTGCCACACCGGGTGTTGTCATCGCGCGTGCGCGCAAACCAGATTGGCATGACGCGAAACGATTACGCATGAGTTGTGCCAACATGAGCGCAGCCGCAGCGTCGTGACGTCATAGCTGTGTGTTGGCGTAAGGAGAAGGGTGGAAAGAGGAGTGCATTTTTCTTTTATCCATATCGGAAAAAGGCTAGCCAATAAGATGATTAGCAATGAGCGATTCTGGGCGAAGGCAGAATAATCTTCACAATAGTGCCTAAACCCCACGCGGGTTAATCGTTTGCTTATTAACAAGTCAAAGATGACAGACATCGTCACGCATTGCTTTCAAAGCTGCCGGTATTTCCTAAACCCCAAGGAACACGAACTGTACGTGAAACCTTCCAAGCGGCGCTAAGTCTGTAGGATTTAAACTAATCATAAAAGCAGTTGCTACATGTACGCAAAGATGTATTTGAGAATACATATTTAGGTGAAGTGTCACAATTATTTTTTCGGTGTGGTTTGTTTTCTTTACCTCGGGAAAAAACACCTAGTCATTTTCCTGGTGTGTTTCGATCATCATTGCACGCGGCCTCTGCAACGATGCTCCGCGTTTTGCGCGCCCATCAAGACATAAATTGGAAAGGAAAGGAAGGGACCTCTCCAGCTCACCTTTTGGGGTTCCGGCATTTGCAGCACAGGCGATGAGGACAAGACGCAGGACGCAGACCTCCATAGCGAAGTTCCGAGCGCAGAACATGGTGCTCGAGCGCGGCTTATTTGTAAAAGAGTTTTTGCTCACAATGGTCGGTAGTTAGCGAGCCTTTGCTTTATCACAGAGCATGGACGCCATTATGAACTCTCGTCGTCAACGTTCCCGGCGAATGTAAGGACACAATTCGTTCGGAAACCAAGCATTCGCGGTCAACTAGCGCCACGCCGTGGCAAGACGCTGAAGTGGTAGTTGGTTGGGTCTCCTGCTTCCTTTCCTACGGTGAACGCTTGGCTGGATATTTCAAAGAGCACGCGCAGTGTATCCAGTGACGGAAGTGCTGCGCCATTTGCGCCATGAACGAATGTCTGCTACGTCTAGCGCTAAAGCGCCATTTTTGCTAATTGCGCCACACCTGGGCCGAAATAAGCTTAAATAAAGCAAAGCAATAGTTTGCTTTGCTTTATTTTGATTGGTTGATTTTGATATTTTGAGAAAGTTATTGGTTGATTGTTTAATTATTGGTTGATTTTGATATTTTGAGAAAGTAAAAGGGAACGAAAAGTATACACATACGTACTTTACACCGTCTCTAACCGTCGTATAGTTTGTTTCGTCGTATAGTTTGTTTCACGTTAGGTCAGGGCACAGCCGAAAGCTCGAACACATATATATCACGAACACAGATACTAAAAGTGCAAGTCTATAGGGGCGTTCGCTGCGCTCAGTTGGTTTGGCGGATGAAAGAGCACGTACGGATAGACGACAAATGCAATGACGTGGCGCTTTTGACTTTGTTTGATTGGTCCCATAGACTCGTAACGTCGTCTGCGCATTTGCCTTGAGATGAGGCGAAGCGTAGACATTGCTTGTCAACCGCGCTGGCCCCGTCATTGCCTGAATTTCCAGGCGATGTTGACGTCGTCGATTTCCAGGAAATAGGAGTCGCAAGAAACATAAGCAAAATAGTGGGGAGGCGGCTAGTGTAACTATACAGAACCAGGGTCTTTTACTCCTGACGATATGACTCAATTATCGTGTCTGCCACATGTCTCCATGTCGTGGCCATACAGTGTATACCGGGGCACTTGCGCCGCTCGCTGCAACCTTCAAGGCCTCACACTAGCGCGCGGCGCGTCGAGCTTCACCGCTTTGCACCGGAGTGCTAGGAGCAGCGGCTGACCTGGGGAGCGCACGAATTAGTCTATATTAATCCATATTTACATAAATATGTTAGTCAAGGGTAGTTCCGATGCAGCGGTCAATCGAAAAGCCAGCGAACTTTGACTCTACTCTGTTTCGAACACCTCTAAAGCGCAGTGTCACTTTTAAAGCGCAAGTTTAGATTTTCGTAATATGTGCGGGCGATTGTTTTTGCAGCTTATGAGTAGAGCTCTGCGTATCCGCGGAGTACCCGCGTATGAACCCTGGATATCTGTAGTAAATTGGCGGTTGCTGACAAAAAGGAATTAAATTTGGCGAATTACGGATCGGATGCGGATGTCCGCTGGTCCCGATCTACATTTTCGTCGAGGCGGCCCATAAACGTCTGCGACCGCATGTAGAATGAATAAGTGAGTGATAGTAGAAGGTGAACCATCGAATGTTCTGCGGTCTGTCTGTTATTATTTTTAATGTTTAGAAAATGTGCGTCTGTTTGATGTGGGTGTTTAAAGAAAGGGAAAAAAATATTACAATTTCTTTTCTTTTGAGCGCATCTTCTGGGCAGTGTGTCGCATACTCCCAAGACGATCACATAGCTGCGATAATCTTTCCAACGACGCGAAGTGTCTCTGGAAGAACGATAGTTTATAATACACGATAAAACAGAATACGATAAAAGTTACTTCCCCCGTATTCTGACTCGAAGAGTTCTTCGTACGAAAACAAGCAAACGGCTTATAAAGTACCTTCCAGGCTCTTCTTTTCTTCATTCACGCTGGATTTCGTAATAGTGTAACACGAATGCGCGGATTGCGGGTCGGGGGAGGCTCCGAATTGAGCGGATGCGCTTCGGATGCGGATAATCAAACTGTTATCCGCGCCGGGCTCTACTTATGAGAAAAGAATCCTAGTTCGGTGTTCATAAATCTTGGGGGGAACGTATTTCTATTGACAGACAGTTCTAGCGGATATGCTGATTTTTACGGGATTTATATTTACTGGCTAAATTAGCTACCGAGTGTAAGAGAGGGAGGGAGAGAGAAAGACTTTATTTCAGCTGAAGTGTTGCGCTATGCTTCATTTTTCAACAATTTTTTTTTTTTAATCACCATTGTAAATAAAATCTACTCGGACCTGAGCTTTATTTCAAGAAAAGAAGGCTGTGTGTTCTCTTTGCATCCTATCTATTCTGACCACAAAATATAAGTAAGAGGCTTAAGTATCGAAGACAAAGCCTCAATCATTATTAGATAGGAACTCATTTAGAGATGCAATCACTTTTTTTTTTTTTCAAGTGACATGCTAACGGATGTTGGCGTCTGCTCCAAAAATAGTAATAGTTTATTTTCGCTTCATTTTACAAACATTTGAATCTGTCTCACGAAAGCACTTTTGTGCTTGTGTGGGAGTACGGGCAGTACGTCAGTGGCTGCTCGAAATCAGTATTTCGCCTGCTACAAAAGGCACAGTGTCGCTTCCATGACTGATCGCATAACGGTTCGGGAAAGGTTATTTCATATGTACGTTTGTTCGATTAATGGGCCATATTTGATGGGACAGCGTGGCCTCGTTGGAGTTGGAAGCTTCGTGAAACTTGCTTTGATGACGAAGGAACAAGCGAGGAATGTTGGTTTTGAGGGGTACATCACTCGTTCCATGAGTGACGGTACTCTCGTTTTATGTTAACCACAACTGGTTGGTTTAATGCGGATTATCTGTTCCCTTCCCAGCAGGAAGCATGTTTTAAGTGCACACAGTACGCTGCTAATTTGCGTGTCAGAAATTTGTAGAGATTCCGAGGCACAGCACATCATGAGGTACAATTCACACATAGTCCATAATGGATGTTTTTATGAGCTGCTGGGACAAAACAAAATGATAAAAACGTAAAAATAAAAATATTTTCAGCTTTCATCTTGTGTTGGGCAACTCTTTGGTACATAGTGTATGTTGGCACAAGTGGGGATATAGTATACGGCTAAAGAACACTGTCGCGCTGTCTGAGATTTGTAACTTAGTTTATCTGGAAATCATTCGTTCGTCGGCGGAGCAGGCTTTCTAGACACGGCAGTACAAGGAGTCAACTTACCTTCGACAACGAGAGGCGCCGTGAAGCTGTCGCTGCCAGCGCCGTTAGACACGGTGCAGCTGTAGTTGCCGAGGTCTTCGGTGGAGAGACGTTCAATGGTCATGGTGGAAATGCTCTCGGTGAGCATTTTCACGTAACGCGATGATTTGTCCACCATCGCCCGGCCGTTGTGCTTCCACACAAACTCCAGAGGACCAGTTCCGCTCTGCGCGACGCAGGTGACCACCGTCTTCTGACCGAGAAGCACGTTCTTCGGGAACGAGTAGGGCATTATGACTGGCTTTTCTGGCGCTGCGAAAGAGAATCTCACTTAGTGGGGTAGTTCTAATAGAAATCGCGATGTAGCATGCGAATTTCATGATTTATAGCTTACCTGCGTGCTCTTTCGCTGATGCGTACAAGGTTCCAAATAGAGGCAATAGAGTTGACAAGGACACGAAAGCTCTCATCAGGCGGGCCGACATGACACAGTCTGGTACTGCCGCCTATTCCTTTTGGGATCCAGCGTTTTCCTCTTTATACCGATTGAAGCGAGGACTACGACTGTCCAGTGGAAAATATGGTGGCAGTCGAGAAGTGCCTGGGGCTTGACGTTTGTTCCGAAGGCTTCGTTCACGGTAAACTAGCGCCACATGTCGGTAGGCGTCGAAACCAACCAAAACCTCAATTTTTGTGACTGAGCATAAGCAATAGTCCAACCAAGTTAGCGTTTTACGTTTGAAGAATAGCATTATGACGATTCATGTTTGGATATAGTTATACGACGGTCGAAAATACAAAATCATGTAAGCTTGCGTTCTTTTTTTAATTGTTTTATTAGAGGGAATAATGATATACGTGGGGAGCAGACGGCCTCAAGTTCAAAATCTGAAACTATCGAGTGGGGAGAGGTCCAAATGCTAATAGACCCACTCCCCACGTGTTCGGCGCACGCGCTAATCCGCCGTAACTTTAGTACACGGGAATCAGGTGGTGGTACATGAGACGGCTCGAGCCGTCTCGTGCTTTGTGGTAGCAGGTGCAGAAATAGTGGTAGCAGGTGCAGAAATACTTAAACTTCCTTGATGCATCGCGGCAGCGGTGGCGTTGCCAGACTGGCTGGTGAGATCGGTCTATTCAACGTTTTTCAGAAGTTACTATGCGTGGTGGTTAGAGCAGAAGGCAGTCGAGTGAGCGTCAGAAAATACCTGATTGGATACTATACCTTTCACCACGAGGGGTGCCGTGAAGCTGTCACTGCCGACGTCATTGGATACGGTACAGGTGTAGTTTCCGATGTCTTCGGCGCCGACACTTTCTATGGTAAGTGTGGCGAATTTGTCAGCGACGGTGCTGACGTACTTTGAGGACGTGGCGAGCACCTTCGCGCCATCCTGAACCCAACTGAACTTGAAAGGTCCATCGCCGCTAACAGTGCCACAGTTGACGAGCGCCTTCTGACCGAGGGCGATGTTTTTCGAGAAGAAGAAAGGCTGTACCTCCGGTGGACCTGCATGGTTTCTTTTCTTAGTTTTCGTGTCTGCGTTAAACACGCTGAAGTAATTGTCGTGAGTAAGCAAGATGTCTCGACCAACGATCACAATGAGGCTTAGAAAGATGTACTCACCTGCGCCGTAGACGTCGGTTGGGTTGCAGAAGAATAGCAGGAGCACATAAAGATGTCGCAGAAGCTTGAAATGAATCACTTCCCGGAGTGAGTCAGCAATTTTCGCCGCCATATTCAACAGTTGAGGAGGTTCTATGAACCTTTGAAACGTCAGCTTGAATCTCATGCACGTTATGTCTATTTCAACTACAGCGTGTTTGTGAGCGTGTGCGGAGATATCTCGGTTGAGCGTTTTTCCCCTGCGTTGGACAGGTGCCGCCATGCCGTGGCGCAATATGGAAGCGTGGCCGTCTTTGAGAGCGTTGTATACATATTCAACCGTCTCTTCCTTCGAAATTCGCGCCACAGAACCATACACGTTTGAACCACTTTCAACGGTAGATATTGAAAATTGGATCGCTGAATTGCATCAGCTCTTATGAGGAGTCCACAGGAGCCCAGTATTTATGCCCACAGCGTGTGCGCTTGCATTGAGCTCATAGTTCTGCACTCAATGGGTCTCTCGAACATGGTCGAGAAGACTCTAAACCCTTAGTGACAAAGGCAACCGTTGCCAGCCCCGCATATATTTCATATGTTAGTTTTGTCTGGTGTATATTTATTTATTTATTTATTTATTTATTTATTTGGTAGATGGTAGATGTAGCAGTGCAACATCTACCATTCGTGTTTTCATTTTATGCTGTCTTATTTTTACACTCCAGAGCAGTCTGGCCAAAACAGAGGGTCTCAGCTGACATCTATTTTGTTTTTTAGCATCCTTCAACTAATAAATAAGGGGCAACAAAGTGCTTTACCTTCCACAACGAGGTTTGCCGAGAAGCTGTCGCTCCCGATGTCGTTCGAAACGGTGCACGTGTAGTTTCCAAGGTGTTCTGCGGCGACTCGTTCGATAGTCAGCGCTGCTATGGTCTCCGCGATCACCTTGACGTATCTAGAAGCCGAGTTGCCGAAATCTGCTCCGTTGTGCGACCAGTGAAAAGACAGAGGACCTTTTCCCGTTGTTGCACCGCACATGACGGTCGTCTTTTCGCCAAGGCTCAAACTTTTCGAGAAGGAGAACGGTTGTATTTCTGGTCTGCCTATAAAATTTAAAAAAAGTAAAAAAAAAAAAAAAAAAAAAAAACGTTAGACTAAACAAAAGAGTAAGTGGCTCAGCGGGCGATGTCAAACTCGGAGGACCAGACGGTCTTACCTTTTGAGACGCCATTGGCTACATCGATGACGACGAAGACCAACGTGATAATGCCTGATAAAGTCATTCTACACCGCACCATTCCGTTTTGATGCACAGGAAAATTTTCCGCGACTCGTGGGCGTCACCGATTCAAATAGGAAGAGTCCGCGCGTATTGGGTAGAATACCCGACTTATCTGCTCAAGATCGGGATGCCGCTAAGCGCGGGCGACTCGATTCTTCGTGGTCAGCCGTGTGAGCGAAGGCACCATTTCAAGAAGCACTTTGTGGACAACTAGCGCCACATCGCGACCGTTCTATGAACCACGGTTCTGGCCCTTTTCAGAAAAACCAGTCCAGCCACTCGGTCTAGGACTGAACTCGTCGTTCTAACGACTGCTTGCTTTGCATAACCAAATGCATCCTTAGACCATTTGAATAAACTCCTACGCGCTGCCATCTTTGTCCACTGGGCTGTGAAAGGACTTCGGAGCATGCGCAAGAGCTTTCTTCTGGGGAATATGAGACGCCGCACGTGCGTGAACGGTTCAGGGACTAGGCAGTTTAGCCTGAGTCATAAACAATAGAAAAATGTATCCGATAACGAATGGGTGTGAGACATTGTCAAAAATACACATGTGGGTCTCTGAGCGCTTCTATCACGTCCGTTATTCGAAAGGGTTAGAGGTCCTGTCCCCGCCCTGCGAGCCGCCCTTGCTGACCTCCAAATCTGAACGCGCCTGCTTTTCCAGCGTGCAAAAGACATCCTTCGCCCCCCCCCCCCTAGCATGCGGTAAGGGTCCAGTGGCAAAACGTGCTCACTGTAGCTTGTAAAAAATGCAGTGGCGACTTTAAAAACAGGAACCACGCTGTGCGCGCAAAACATGTCCATGAAGCGTCCATAGGCTCTTCACGTGTAGTGACAGTTTCAATGTACCTACCTATACTTCAATTAAAACGAGAATAACGGAGTTGACAATAGTTGCTTTAACACTTCGATGGCTGTACGATCAAAGTACCGTTACTCCGACGGTAGAGAGGCGTCTGTTAATCCCGAACGGTACGTTTGATTGACGCACAATTTGCGCTGAGCGTCGTTGGTTCGCCTGATTTTACAACCGCAAGAAATCGTTTGCACAAGACTCCGACACGCAAGCGTAGGAGGTACATACGTTTATTCTAAAACACTATACTTATTTAGTGGGTGGGAACGGCAGGGCTTCGCTCTTGGAAAACCATGCCTTCGCGCTTTGGCTGCTCGTGCACGATCAAGGCTGAGGCATAGCCTCCTCTATACTCACAAAGCCTGGCAGTTCGACGACGGAGCCGTAGAGTTGCAGATTTGGAGCGCGAGGATCTGGTAGCATAGAGCATCGAAGAGCCCTTTCTCGGGGAACTTGGATATCAGTGCACAGCTTTTGCAGCGGCGAGGACCCGAAAGACACTTGTTCGCTCGGGAGAAGTGTGTTTCGGCATCTCGCCGCAGCGGGGCGCCAGTCATGTGGCTCTCCCCTCATCCGTTGTCTGGCGCTCCACCTTTTCCATTTCGGCAGCCGCTTCTCGTGGCGATCTGCCAGGCTTTGTCAGTATATAGGAGGTTATGGCCGTGGAGACGATACGAAGTTTCATCGAAGGTAGAATGCTCGCACTGAAGGCAACTGAACGATTTCCCTGCCGTTCTCTTCCTGTCAGTGACTACTAATTTTCGCCTTTGGCCAAGCCGTGCGAGCAAATACGACAAACCGAAGACCACGGATGCTTTAGACGTTGTCGCAATGCGTGCACACTGCTCGTCTGCCTTAGCACGAACACTTGACCGCTCGCTATCATATGATTCGCTCACAGATCCCAGTGATATTATTGCTGCACCAGTTCCGCCAACTCGCATGCTCTGCTAAATCCTGCTAACATTTCAGTGGAACGAAAGGAATTTGCGCAATTCATCGCGCCTGAAGTTCATTCCAGTTTATCAATCGTGGAAAGTTTTAGCTCGGGCGTCACAACACTGCCGGATTGTTGCCTTAAGCCTCAGGTCTCCAAACCTTTTGGATTGGGGACCTGTTGCTCTCTCGAGGGCCGGAAATTTGTTAGGACAACATAAACGCGGAAACACCAAATAAATAAGCCTAAATAAGATGCATTTCAACATAGATATTTATACTAGAGCAAAAATTCAAAATAAATGTAAGGTGGACGAATATACATATACTTTATTTTCTAGTGCGATATTTTATTAATGCGAGAACGCACCAGACATAAATCAAAGCGCATAGCAACTTTTATATGTTCACTATTCACACAAGGAAGAAGACGAATGAAAATGGTAGATCTGATCAGATCATTATCCAGAGCGCAATTTAAGTCTTTTTATTGTTACACAGGCATGATGCAGGGAACTACGAATAATAATTCTGCTGACGACAATGTACAAAAAAATAATATGCCGATAGAGCGTGCGTTTTGATACAGCTTTCTAGGCATGTGGGAATAGTGGGTTTTGAGTTCGAAGCGAATAGTGGTCTTGGCCGAGTATTTTCTAATCGAATATCGAATAGTTTCTCCAAGCTTTTCACTACTGCAAAATGCCTGAACGGAAATCCATCTAAACTCGTAAAGGGTGTTCCCAAGCTTCCACTTGTTTATATCTAAGCTAATTTTAATCTAGCTATATTTATAGACTGTGACCTTAGAAGTTCATTGCTTACATGAGAATGGCAAGTAAATTATGCATTTGGCATAACTTTGAACCTATAGTGATGCCCAGTTGTACCTAATCGGGGGGATTTAATAATCTTGCTACATGTAAATATTTTTTTATTAAATTTCGAACCTGAGAGGGAAGAAAAAACAATCATGAATGATGAACGCCGGCTGTCAGGACACCTCTGCCTAACATATACACCTGCATAATAGCCACAGTTTAATTGTTTCTAAATTACTGCAGTGTAGATATCAATGTTGTGAAAGTGTTTGTTTCCATTTACGTACACTACGGGCGCGCGTGCACCATCCCGCTTTGAATGTGGGCTCTCCTCTCAAGAACGTGACTGCAACATGTACTTTTCGAAGTGTTGATCCCGGCAGGTTAGCCCCATTGGCCGCGCTTCTTACCGATCACCTGTGCGCTGCGGAAAAACAACCTCCCCCCCCCCCCTCCACCCCGGAAGCCAGCGCCGCGGGTGTTGTTTCTCCGCAGTGCTCCGGTGTTCGCCAGGAAGCGCGCTCTACGGGGCTAACACGCCGCGGTCATCACTTCGAAAATAACGAATATCTGAGTTCATTACGAAGCGAATATCGAATAACGTGTTATTCGAACTACGATTTGAAAATTCGAATATTCACTCAGCACTACAGTTTTCTCTCATTCTTTTTGATATCTTCGTTTGAGCTTTTAGTGCGTGTCGCGGCGTCGAATTTTTTCATGAAAGCTTTTTTTTTTTTTTTGCATTGCTAGCAGCGGGTTGCGCGTCGGGCGTTTCTGGAAAGTTTCGGCCATCCGGGGGCCGGCTGGAACGCCTCCTCGGGCCTGTTCTGGCCCGTGGGCCGGGGTTTGGAGACCTCTGCTTAAGCGGATGGGTATTTAGGGAACTCGATTATCGCTGGGAAAACGTATTATTCAGCCATATTCTTATGGCATTGACTTACAGTTCGATTTTGTTCACTGAATAAAAGATGTCTTACATAGGGTCAGAAACGTATTAAAACGATTAACCGGAGGGACAAAATATAGCAACCATATATAAAAACCACGTTCCTTCAACGCAGATAGAAAAAAGAAAACGCAAATAAAGCTTCACTGGTGGAGTGCAGAGCAGAAAACGTAGTCCACTGACGACAAACTAGAGATCAGCTATGGTGGCAGAGTCACGATGATACCTAGATAGCGTCGCCCTTGCAAAGCTGCCGTTTTATTTTATGATGAACAACAGCGCAAGCTGCAAGCCGTCCGAGCCAATTCAGCTTTGTGAAATACCACGCTACTACGCGCCCCGCTGCGCCCCTGTCGAAGGTCACGTGATACACGGCATTGGATTGGATTAGCGGGCTCGTAGCGTCCTCTGCGGTCTATTGGAAAATTGGGAAGTCCCTAGTCAATCCATTTGAAAGTCGGCAATTCCCTGGGAATCCCCTAGTTTCACTAGGAATTCCCTAGTAGGAAATTCCCAGTGTCACTGTAAGCCTGCCTAGTAGGGAATTCCCTAGTGTCAAGGCTTCTAAGATGTATCCAGGCTGGTTCACACAGTTGCGTCTGAGGGCTATCGAATGCGTTGCAAGCGCTTGTGACCGCGTACAACGAGATAACACACTTCCGCCATCTGTCGGGTATCCCTGGCACACTTTTGATCTGCGTATATTTTCCGGGTCACTCTCTAAGTAATTCTGGCAATGTTATAGAAGCGACCATTTATCGTCAATTGCGCGTAGATTTGATTTCGCAAATGCTGCAAAACCTCGAGTCTCGTCAAACGCAGATCGGATGTGTTCCCCCGGGCTCCCTGATAGACGGCTCCTAAGAACTAAACGCATTCGAACACACTCAAACGCAAATGTGCGACCAGCCTCCATTTACATGCTCTTACTCCAGCGTCGACTACTTTGGCGGTTTGTTCAGACTTTTACCTTTTACGGCCAGCGGCGCAGTGTGGCTGTCTTCACCGTCGGCATTGGACGCGGTGCAGGTGTAGTTGCCGACGTCTTCGGCAGAAACGCTTTCGATGGTCAGCATCGCGATGTTGGCAGCGAGTATCTTCACGTACTTGGTGGAGGTCTGCCGAAGCACTTTTCCATCGCGTGTCCACTGGAAGTCGAATGGTTCCCGTCCAGTGACCACGGTGCAACTGACGATGGCCTTCTGTCCCAGCGTTATACTCTTGGAGAAGAAGAAAGACTGGACTTCTGGAGGATCTGCGGTATGCCCATAAAGAAATCAATTTGTTGATTCAGCGTTCAGCTTAGGATTTTCTTTCTGTCTCCAGTTGACGGCACCGCCTTCCACGCGGGCGATATTTTGAGCGGTGAAACACGATTGCAGCAGTACTGTGGATACGTTTAGTTCATCGTATAATATCACAGTGATGGCATCATTCTTTTAAGCGGAAGTTGGCGATTCTGATGAATAATTTGTACTAATAATAATTATGTTGTGTGTTACTTTAAACAGCGCCACGTTATAAAGCCCAAGTGGGTGTCTGCTGTGTCCACTGTAGATGAGAAATTTAGTCTGTGCAGTAGCTCTGCTAACATCGCGCCTTTAACGTGCACCACACGGTGGTGATGCACAAACTAAATGATAAACGAACGTGGTGATACACGATACACTTGATCTGACGAACCTATAACAACAAAACGCGGGTTTGCAAAGTCCTCGTCGGCTCGCCTGTGCTAAACATACGTCGTAAGACAATGGCCACATAACACGACTCGGCCTCTGACAAACGATGAGGCCTAACATGCTTCACCTTACCTTCAGCAGCAGACACCGAAATCCACAATATGGTTAAGACACAGCCTAGCTGACGCCTCGTAGTCATTTTTTGGGATTGTCGTTGAGCAGTGATTCACGGGATTAGGACTTTGTCTTTGAGCCTGTCGCAAATGAGAACCTTTGTACTCTAGTCTCTACGAAGCGACCTGCTGTGATTGGTCGGGGATGCGATAGAAAAACGAAACCCGTTTCGAAAGTCTGTGGATGGACAGTTAGCGCCGTCTAGTGAGCAAAGTATGAACTTTTGGGAGTAGTTGTTGTGGTTAGCACCCGCGGGGAGGCGCGAGGCTTTCCGGGTGATCGGCACTTTCAGTTGTGGACTCCGGGTATCAACGGTGATCACTGTCATGATGGTCATAACCATTATCATAATTATTATCATTATCATTACCGAAGCGAGGAAGGAATACTTGCTATTTCCGAACGTTAACCTAAATTTAAAGTTAACTGTAAGCCACGCATCGTGATGACTTCCTCCATTGTTTACCGGCACTGTCTGGGATCGACGAACATTACAATGTACCGAAAAGACTGATGTGCTAAGTACCGCGCTTGGTTTCCTGTGGAACCCCGCTACATGCCGAGTTTCATGGGTCACCTCGAAACGTGTTCGGGGTGGCCTACGCCTTTTATGTCGCACTCAGGTACTCGGAACATGGCCGCCTGGGTAAGACATAGAAGTACAGCCAGTGGCGTATTCTTTTGAACTAAATATAATTGTCTCGATAGCTGTGTACCACGGTATCCTGATCCAGCATAAGCGCTCACCGAATGATAGCGAGGACCTAAACGTTGCCCTTCAGCGTTGGTGCACCCGTTATCACCTTTTAAACTACCGCCCGCGACTGCCTGCAATTGATGTCGATGACAATGAAAATTTTTACTTTGTTTCAAGACTAAATCTTACCTTGTAAAAAAATATAAAACAACGGACACGTGAACGAGATGTAGATAGTGCGTGCTTTCTAACTTTATAATGTTCAAGAATGGCAGTAACGTTATGAGAGTTCAAGGACGGGTCAAACACAGGGCGCGGGGACTGTTTTCGACCTCTCATACCAGGACGCAAATTTTAGCCGATTGTTGATTATTTTCGATTATAGACACTCACAACCAGTGTTGCCATTTTAGCGATTTCTTCGCTAGATTTAGCAATTTTTTATACATTTAGCGACGGATTTTTTTTTTTTTTTAATTTATCGGCTAGCGACTTTTTTAGCGACTTTGGTGTTCAACCACAGGCTCAGATACTGCATAAGCTCTGCTGGCACAAAACATAGTGGTATGCTCTATACCACGATGTTTTGTGCCTGCAGATAAAAGTTATTGGGACTAAGCGTATCGGAACAAAATGTCGTTGGTATGAGTCGTACGGGATGAACTATGCTGGGGCAAAGTGACCTACGCGACGAACTGTGGCCGTCGCCGGACCGATCAGCCGCCTTTCTTTCATCCCCTGACTCCGCCCACAGCACGTGGGTATGGGCGGGAGCGTGATCACGTGACAAAAGGCGAAAGTTTGGCTGGTCCAACATGCACGTAGGGTTTACCACACTGTCAGCTTAGGGAGAAAGAGAGAGAGAGAGAGAAATACTGTATTTTAAAACAACTCTTAGTCCGAGTCACTGCTACCTACGGAGCCCGGCTGGACCCCTGGCTTTGGTGCTGGGTCCGGTTGACAGGATTCTCTCATGTGCTTGATGTGGGCCACCAGCAATGGCCACAGGGTCGGGCGGAGTTCCTGGGGTGGAAGGGTCCAGCTCTCCCAGGAATAAGGGATGGAAGGTGGGATGTGAGATAGGGTAAGAATGTGGGTGGAAGAGAGCCCAGTTAAAAATGTCCACTGCGTCCAATTGGTTTCCGACAATTGGAACCAATGGGAAAAATGTTTGTGATTTCGGACTCCGAAACCGTTTACGATTTGTTTGCAGCTAGGTGGCGCTGCCGGCGCATTATTCCACGCGTTTTCGTCTGCTACTGCTCCGCGGCTGCTTGCGAGTCCCGACTCCTCTCGAGGTTCAGCATGGTTTTTGGTTAATTTTTGCCCTTTCGCCAGTAAAAATTACAATTTGAGCATGAAAAGCGCTACTACCGTTTGGGCGTACGCTTTGCATTATTGTAAAATGCTGCTGCCTTAGCTGTGCTGACAGCGCGAAGCGTTTCGAACCCAAATTCGTCGGCGCGACATGTCCGGTAGCTACAATCAGGGCAAGTTTGTACATACTGTAATAGTAGATGTGCCGATGACTACCAAGTGCAGCAGAAACAATTTGAAAGTCGTCTGCTACTGTCAAAAAAAGCGCCACGAACACCCGTAAGCTAAGTAGGCCCGATGCAACGGCCACAAGCGCGCCGTCAATGATAATGATAGCGGGCGTGTTCCAAAATTTACTCGATCCTATTCCAGGGTAAGGGTTCTGTACCTTGGCGTTCTAAAACATATACCCGCGTCCAGCGTTTTTCAATCTGTGTTGTCACGTGACACGACCCGCGGGGGTAATTCGGATTCATTTGGGTAAGATCTGGAACACAGCCAGCGAGTATTAATGCGGAGTGCGCGCCCTCTAACAGGCGCCACGCAAAGGGACCCCCCTCCGGAGCGGAGTTCTAGAACTGAGTTGGTTCCAATAACGTTGGCCACGGGGGTAAAGGTGGGTGAGGGGGAGTGGCAAATCCCGTGCGCCGACATCCTGGGTCCCGAGTGAAAGATCGCGAAAGAGCGACAGAACACGAGAGAAAGCTGAAGCTTTAAGAGTGGCAAAAAAATAAACGCAATTTAAACCATAGATACGGCGGCCTATTACTAATTTTTGCTTAGCAATTATATTACCCACTGACGCTGGAACTGGCTGTGACACTTGAGAAGACATTTATTAGTATTTCCTAACAAGGGCACAGAGAGGTCCAGGTGACTTCATTTCAAATCTTTATTTCACACACAAAATGCACAATCACACCGCACGAGATTCGAAGGATGCAACTAAAACTGACAATACATGAACGAGATTCACAATAGTATCACTAACCTATCTAAGCATTTGTACGACGGCTATCCTTTCACATAAGGTGGTTTTGCGTGTAGATGCCCTTTGTTCGACCGCCGCAGTTCATGCACGACTAGCTTGCAAAAAATTGTTCTTCTTAGATGCGCATACCTTTTATATTGATTATAGTATAAAACGGAATATATCTTCATAATCTCCATCGGTGTTCTTTTACTTAAAACTCACTGTCCGAGAACGATAAGTGGGAACGGAAAAAAAAAAAAAAAAAACCAACCAGACCATTTATCCTGTTTCACATTGAAAGCTGTAGTATAAGCAACAATTATATCGCAACGCGGTTTCCTGTTAAGGTCGTAAGTCTAATCGCAGGGGCGACATCTATTGTCATCACAACACTCAAATTGTCCGAGGGGAAAAAAAATCGGTAACTTAATTTGCGAAATAGAGAAATATCCGTAAACTTTACTGAGAACAATCCATAATCTATGAACGTGCAAAAGACGTGAACGGGATATCCCACTTATGGAACATCATCCGCCATACGTAGATGTCTTGAAATTAATCTTCCAGGAAAGTGTCATGTTCTCATATGGTTCCGCCATTTAATGTTGCACGCACTATGGCATGCCCCGCGAAAGACGGCACTCTACTAATACGCAGCAGAACTATCGATATTATGACTGAGCTAAAAAAGGTAAGCGTGTAGGAATCCGATGATTATCCTTACAGACAGTTTAGATCCACATTCACAGTCACTTAGTTAAGTAGGTCAGTCGGGAGAACATTCTGGTCAGACGAACTTGAAAGCGGCGCGATTGCAGAGGTATTCATCTTCGCATGGTCCCGCAGTATTCACAAAGTAGAGGCCTTCTTCAGTTTCGCTGCACTCTTGAGCAGGTACACACACATCATGCATTCACCGATCATGGCACCAACCGTTCCTGATCTCGCCGAGATATTAGGAAAGTCCAGTTCATCGACGGTGACAGAAGCGCCCTCTGTCGACGCGAACAAAAAGCGCGAACATCGTCACCGCCAGCGTTGACGTGGATCACTTGATGTAGCCGTCGATAGAGGGCGCGACATATACTTGGAAGAGATCTCGCTCGCAAGTCGGAGCCGGTCTCGCAAGGTAGATTGACGAGGGTTGTCGTCTTCTGTTCCAGGTGCCGTCTCGACGATTCGCGAAGATCAGGAGCGGTTCCAGGCGAGCGTCGTAGCACTGGAATGAGGCTTCCATCTTGTCCGACGGAAGGTACACGTGTCCGCTTTACACGATGTTTCGCTTTCCCTGCGTCTTGAGCCTAGCGTAACTGCCGATGCCGTCGTTGATCTGTCGAAGACACGCATAAGAGTGCAGTTTAGAAATAGCGAGCGGTTTCGTAGCGAATGATAATAGTAAAATCAGCTTCGTAACCACGACCTTATGTTTTGAAGTTAAACTTCCAGTTGTAAGTTTGTATACAGTCTCCAAAAGTTTGAAAAAAACATTCGACGAGGCATTCTCATGCAGCTGTGCCATGGATTCGCTTTGCACAGTAAGGAAATAAATTAACATTTGTTTTACTTATCTTTCTAAAAATAAAGTGTCTCTTGTCAAAGTATGCTTAGCAACGCCGCATAAACTGCATCGGCGAAAGGGTCTCCTCCTCCGATTATTATAATAAACGCACGATCCTACTCAAGATACCCTCTTGCAGTGTCTAGAATCCAGGCCTTCACTAGTTTAATGTACAAAATCTATTTAAACATCCCAATTTTGAATCGCGGTCTGCCCTAAGGGTAGGCCTGGAGTTTACAGAGCATGCAATATAGTCCCATAAGTTTCCATCTTGACTTTACGGGCGTACCATGCCAGTCCTGGTCGGAGGTCCGTCCCAGGGGACGTCGTAGGCTTCTTCGGTGCCCTGGCTGTTCCTCGGGTGTTCCATGGTAGGCGCGTACGAGCCTCTCGCGTACTGACTCACCAGCGGGGTACCTGCGGGCACAAGGAACAATAATACAGTTCCCGGATGTCGTTAGGGTTCCCCTATCGCTTGGCGTCACGTCCATGGTTACGTTCAAGTACTGCCCCTTCAAAGGTCATCACTAGTGAATCCACGCAGTGCGTCTTGCAGCGTCTCGCACCGAGCGCGACGCCAACACGTGGTACGGCCAAAGCGCGTGCGTGTCGAGCACATACTAGTGATAACGTAACGAGCTGGCCTCGTCTTCAAAGTGGTATTGTATGAACCCACGGCGTAACCAAGATGACGGCCAGATTAGCTTCTCTTAAAGTTTGTCTGCAGTGTACGACCGAGGGGAGAGCATCCAGTTGGGCGAAGGGCTCTGCTGGACACTCGTTAAGAAAGTCGGCAAGATCGCCGACCGCCACGACGATTGGTCAGTGCGCCTCGCCGCGATTGGTCAGCGCCTCGCGCGATAGGTCAGCACCTCTCTGCGATTGGCCCGCGCCAAGGTCAAGCACGGCGCTGGTCAATGGTAAAGGTCGGCGGTATCGCCGACTTTCTCGCCGAGTGTCCAACTCAGAGCCCAGGTAGTCGAGACATTCCACTAGTAGGCAGGAAGGATTGGGCAAGAGATAGTGAGGAAGCGTGCATGACGTTTCTATTCCCGAAACGCCTCCCATAAGCAAATAACTGACGTCATTCTAAACTCCTCGGCACTACGGGGGCGAGTCTTCTTGTCGCCCTATTGTCAGTACCAAACAGCGCGCTTTTCGCAATCACATAAGCCACCATTGGCTTCTGTGGGCGTCACCTGTATTACATTCGAAGACGATATAAATAAAGATTTATTGTATTGTACTGTACGCTACCGTACGGTACCACAACTCTTGAGCATAATCCTCGGTTATATCGCTACTGTTATATGACGGCGGCCTCGCGGCTTCAACTACGCAACCTTACAGACCTAGGGCATAATGAGCTTCATTTCGTCAAGAAGGTACAATGACGGCAACCGACCACGTGATGACTGTCCGGTGTGACCATTAGTGGAATGCGCTGGGAACGAGGGTATGCTAGTGCGCGTTTCGGGCACTTCTAGTCGAGTGAAGGCTCGTCACTTCGTGTTGGCAAAGAATACTGCAATATACTGACAATTTCCACTAGGAACTGCCAGTCCAGACTGGAAGTGAGATACTGTTAGCGAGGTACGGTTAGTACGGGAGGAAGCAGCGGAAGTGGTTAGCAGAGCAGTGCAGGAGCAGAGCGGTCTCCAAAGCGCAATGTTCATCGGCTTCCTCACCTGGCGGGAGCTTACAGTCGCCATAGTACTCAATACCGTACACTTTGCGGTATGCGTCTGAAAATGAACACAGAAACAACAACACGCAGTCAACGCACGGCTCACGGGGCACATACCACGGGCAAAAACAAACTTTTGCGAACACAAAATGTCCTCCATTCCTTGAGGTGCGTAACGTAGGCGTGCATAAAATAATATAGTATAAAACATCAAATTCATTGCATACACAGATAACGAAAACGATAAGGGTCAACGCACAATGACAGATTGCATTGGCCGTACACAAAAAAATACACAAACGTACACATACAAAATAGGTACTTATTTTTTTTTTTAAATATAAATAAGCCGCAGCATTAGACACGAGGGCAAGAAAACGACAGGACCGAATCCTTAAACTGTCGGCAAACACGATACCGTAACATATGTCTGCGAGCTTTTTCGTAATATCGTACTAAAAGGTAAAAACAAAAAAAGAGGGGGGGGGGGGGTATTTCGGTTGTGGTGTAACGAACGATCAAGCATAATTGTTAAAATCCGGCGACAAAATACAGAAAAACAAATGTTTATATTGAAAATAAATAATTGCTTAAAGGGCAACTCCGCTCCATTTTTGATATTTAGAAAACTATGTAGCCCTCTTCAGTATCATATAGGAAGACCCCATGTCAAATATTACGATCTAATTCCGTTTATATATTTAATAAACTGGCCAACAAACCTTCAAGCGAGCCAAGTCGCCGAAATCTGCCAACTCTAGCGTGCGGCGCGAGGCGCAATCATCAGCGCAGAAAATGCCACGGAGTTGGAGCGGCCAACGTTGAACCACAACGTCAAAGGCATGACTACGTCATTCTCACGTCTTGCTTGTTTTTACTTCTCAGAGCGAAATTGAACGATGACGTCATGAGTTTCTCCTCCCGGTGTTGGCTGACCGGGCGTTCACGTGATCACCGTAACACGGATGCGCTAGTTTGCGCTGCCCTGCGCGCTTATCGGTCGGTTTCCCCACTCTCCTTCTCTTCTTTCGTCTTCTCCCCTTCCCCCTCTCCCCCGGGCCATCAACGTCCACGTCATGCAAAGCGACCTGCCCGCGTCCTATATATAAAAAAAAAAAAAAAAAAAAAAAAAAAAGACCTGCTTGCGTCGCGTGTCCCGTTTCTCGCTCCCTCCCGAACGTCACCAGACCACGTGGTTTGACGTGACGTGGCCATGACTCTGACGACCCGAGACCAATGTGGCCTGACGCAACCGAAGTTTCGGTTTCGGTGTCTGCTGATGTTTAAATTAGGATTAATTACACAAATAATATTCCACTTTTCGCGAATCCGAAGACGTAGAGTTGTTTAGTAGTGCTCTGTGAATGTGAACCACGTGGAAGCCTACATTTTTCGGAATTGAGCGGAGTTGCCCTTTAAGCCTTCGATTTTTCAGCTATTTAATCCGAAGGCATAATCTGAATGCGGATGGCTTCCTGATTCCGAAATGCTATGTCGTTCCTCCAGATTCATTCTAGTTAATTAAAAAAAGTTATATTTTGTTCGCTGCCAAAACCAATATACCGTTCTCCCCAGTTTTCCCCGTCATCGAAATGTAACGTCACCGGTGGGCAGCGAGGCACGCTGCCTGCAATCGGGTGCGCTCGCGTCCGCCTTTCTCCCGTCAATTAGAGAGAAAACAGGGGCGTTCGTACTATAATAATCAAGTTGCACAAAGTACGACCTTGGCCTAGGTGCTAAACTATGAGAAAGTAAAAAAATGGAAGCAACTGGGATTTCGAGGGAATCGTTTTCGCAACTCGGTACGCTCAAGCCACGGCTCGCTAGTTTCGTGAAATCGCTAGCAAATCCGTTCTCCTTCTATCAAAAGCTGGCAGTTACGCTGGGGAAGAAAGGCCGACGAGTCACGCAATACATCGTTTTTGACAAGTTACTCAGGCACCGCGGAGAATGCTCGAAATGCGGGTACAGATGCCCCACACGCTCGTGTTACCTGAAGGAACGTGCCATTTGTTTTAGCTTTTCTTTAGAAACGTTACTGTTACAGACGCCAGCACGTGTAACTACTCTTGTAACATGCATATGCTCCTTAGTGATTGTTTAATTTAGAAAAATATCTATAGAACCATTCCAGAAAAGCGCTCGTCGGCCTGCCCGCCGGTGACGTACGCGGGTAGAGAAAAGTAGGTGTTTTTCATTGTTGCCAGTAGTCGCTTCCTGGAACTCTCGCGGCCGGTGTAGCTCAAGAGTCCAATAACTTCGCGAAACAATTCTAGTTTTATAAAATATTTCGGCGATCAGTTGAGAAAGGGTTATTGAAGCGGTGTGCCGATTTCCAGCCAAATCGGCCGATTTCCAGCCAAATCCTGTTGGTCTTGTCCCGTCAGTAAATCTTATGAACAAACGTCGTACACTACATCGGCTTCAATACGAGACAGCAAGAGCAGCTTTCACCGAAAGGTCCACGCAGTCAAAACACGAAAGAACTAAACGAGAAAACAAACCAAGCATATAAAATGCACATGCTATACCGTACCACGCCCAGTCGCAGACAGAACATCGTGTGCAGAATTCACGTGTCCTTCAGGCCATAACCAACACGGTATAAAGGCAAGACGAACTGCCGTCAACTCTGTTCATTCCGTTCGAATAGCAACAACAATAAAGCAGACGGACACGATGTCGAACTCGCGACAAACAAGGTCCGGGATGTGCGCTCACTCTTTTGGATGATGGTGGCTCGCTTGAGACAGGCCCAGGCGATCACGACGGCTGTGATGATTACCGTGAAGGACGCTGCCACGGGCACCACGAAGTAGGTCCGGTAGTAGAAGGGCACCTCGCTCTCCGTCGTCGTCTGAAGAGACCGGCCGTCTGCGCAACAGTCGAACGTGCAACAAGGATTTGAGCAGCAATTAAAACGAAAAAAAAAAAAAAATACTATGCGAGTAAAAGAGGTGTCGACAGGCTTTCTCTACTTTCGTTTTGTCGACATCGTCGTCTTTGTGCCGGCCGCTGCAGTTCGCGAGGTTACTACACGCGAAACGTGGTAACATCTTGATTAGGCCTCCTGCGAGTGTTTTGAGGCGTATGAAGTTGTATCATGCCATATACAATGTCGATGAGCTGCCTGCAGTTCTTACAACTTTTCCATCATATGCGCAAGGTACCAATCTGTATCTTATTTCGTTCGCTAATTTTCTAATTTTAAACATTAAGCTAACAATTGTTTAAAAGAATTTGTTAAGGTCTATTGCATATTATGAACACTAGCATCGCCTTCTCTGCTATCCACCTTCTAGTGTTCGTAACTGTACATTGATTAAATTATTAACGTTAGCGGTGTCCCATCTCACATGGTGTTAAGGGTTACGAAGCTAATCACGGACAAAACAAGTTGGGATGGTCGCGAGGAAATAAAATTAGGTAGAACACATAAAACACACTTAGCCACACTTCGCTTCCGCAATTAAAGGATATATACATTTTCGTTTGGGTAAATAGCAAGGAAACATGTGACAAAACCGGCCGCAGACAAAAAAAGAAAGGGCGGTTCTCCACACGCCACCAGGTGGCACAGGTCGCCAGGTGGCACAGGTCGCCGCCCGATTGAAAGGATATTTCTTCATCCATCCATTTCACTAGGGCAACGCGTACGTTCTAGCGTTTTCTTCCTTCGGGCCCACTCGTGTGCGTATGTTCTTCCTATACCTGAGAGGTGCGTGACGGCGGGCAGGTTGTGCGAGAAGTCTCCCCTGCCGTACATGTTGTAGGCGGCCAGCCGGAAGTTGTATCGGGTGCCGCTTCTCAGGTCGCGGAGGGTCACCGTGTCCTTGTTGCCCGGCAGGTGGAGGTCGGACTTCTCTTCGTCGTCGCTGCCGTACTGCACCAGGTACTCTGCATTGCCGAGGAAGCCGCTTTTGTCGATCTAAGCTGACAGTGCGGCCTGGCAGTGATGTGATTGGCTCGAACTGTTTTAACCACCTTTCGGAGCGGCCAAATATCCAATGCGGAGGAGCAAAAAGTACTTCTGGGGCATAGGCACACACTTCGTTTTCATTGCTACCACTGCATATAATGTATGTTACGATTCACGTGTTGGCCTGCCGAACTAAAGGACATTGTCTACTTTGCCTTCCGACTTTTGTACTACCTTTTATTAGCATAAATTGCTCGGCAGGTTTGATTCCCACAAACACAGAAGTAGCTGTTTAGTGGCGAATTGAAACAGCAGGCACAGCAACAAAGTGCTGAATGTGCTGAATGATGAAGGGCAGTATCAACTGGTGGTGAATGGCTGTTCTGGGCATGGAGCAGAAGGTAAACGAAATAATATGTTCCATGTAAATAATGTTAGAACCAAATGGTATTAAGCACCTAAATTCATGTTTTAGTTAGGTTTTAAAAGTCGCCATAAAACTGCGATTCTTAAGATAAAAACAAAGGCTTTGTCATTTGATTGAGGACATCAATGACATTTTATATGTAGAACTTCAAGAGAACGAAAATCGGCATGTGAGCGATAAATATGCCTCATTAAAATCCAGCCAAACCCATTAAAGTTCTTCGAACCTTTGCACCCAGTTGCCCAGCTAATTTAATTTGATTTCACTCTACTCGCTATCAATGCGCGAACCTACATAAAGGTGATACCTCATGCTGAATCGCAAATGGAAAAAAAATATATAATCAGGAAAAAAGAAATCGCTATCTAACGTATTTACTAGCCTTAGTTTTATTAGGAATGTTTTTACCGAAAGGTAGAGTTGATAAATAGATACAGATATATATCTTTTTGTTTGATACATTAGGCGCCGGCGTGTACGACATACCGCTCTGGAGGAGCGCTTCCCCTCAGCACGCAGGTGTGCTGCGGCGAACCAAAATACGCAAAATCGCGATCTCTGCTCCGCGATTCTGGCTTTACTGCAGCGCAGCAAAGCACGGCGAGTAGCGCACTCAACGAAGCTAATTTGCCAGAACAGACAAGGAACATGAGAAGTATTGCGGGACCCCCGAGCACTGTCAGTGTTTGACACATAGATCGAATCAAGCAGCACGTTATTGGAGGCGATAATCGTTAGTTCCCGAAATTCGCACAAGCCTACCCTAACGATACGGCCGTGTACCAATGGGCGCGTTCAGTAACGGCTCCCTCAGCCCCGAACGGAGTCACTCGAGTCGGAGTCATCGGAGCGCCTACTGAACGGCAAAAAAAAAAAAAAAAAAAGAAAAAAAAAGCGCGGCTTTAAACCTGCTTCTACGCAATTTCCGTTTCCTCCCCTGTGCCAGACGGTCTCCGAATAAACTGGAAGCAGACGATGGCGAGCACGATCGCTTTTATTTGACGCCGGTACTGAAGAAGTTTTGACAAGGTCGTTGAACAAAAAGCGAGTGACTGTACACACCAGCGCTGGTGTTCGAGCCGATGCAACGGGATCGAGCCCTTCGCTTGGCGGTGCAAAGGCAGCTACTGTTATAAAAAACCGACAAAAAGTGAAAGCCGTTTACAAATCCCTGTAACGCCGAATTGGAGCGCAGCTCTTGAGGAGGAGGAGTGAAGGGTACTGAGGGGAGGGTAGACCCCTCCTCCTCCCCTCATTTTTTAATATGCTCCGGGGGCGGTCACGTGACCTCGGGTGGGGGTCACCTTGGGGTCACGTGACCTTGAGATGACCTTGGGAGGGGTCACGTGACCTTGGGTAGGAGACCACGTGACCTCGGGGGTCACGTGACTTGGGGGTCACGTGACCTTCAAAGGGTCACGCGGGGTCTTGGGGTCACGTGACCTTGAGATGACCTTGGGAGGGGTCACGTGACCTCGAGGGGTCACGTGACCTTGGGAGTCACGTGGGGTCACGTGACCTTGAGATGACCTTGGGAGGGGTCACGTGACCTGGAGGGGTCACGTGACCTTGGGATGACCTTGGTTACGCCGACGGCGACGGCGACGGCGACGCCGCTCAAGCCGGGAACGGGCCCCTAAGAGCTGCGCTCTAAAAACGGCGTCAGCACACGCAAAATATAGAGCTCGGTGAATCTACGCCGCCTGTTGCGATACGTTTGTTCTGCCCTTCGTAACGGCCATACGTTTGTTTTGCCCTTCGTAACGAACTTCATATAAAATGTATTCGTATGCACACGGAAAGTTCGGCCGCGCTCGGCGGTCAAGGTTTTGTCGGCCGAAGCGAGCCTCAGCCAACGTCCACCCCGATTTAGCTACGCAAACAAAACATTATTCGGGATCATGCTCCGTGAGTGTCCAACCGGCTTCCAAAGTCGCGTTCATACCCTGCCTTGCTCTGTTCAGCGCGGACAAGACTATCGTCAATATTACCGAGTTTCCGTGTTTCCAATGAACGTTTAAGTTGTTTATTAGCATATTCAAACCAAACAAAATACGGTCCAATGCATTTTCCGAAAGAGCCTTACCTGGAAAAGAAATTCGAATGCGTTATTCGTCTTACCTTGAGCACTTTTCATTACCAAAAGCGAGCAAACCGCACACCCGCGACAGAACTGAAGCAGCTTATCCCGCCATTTTGTTCGTGCTCTTCTCTTTTACCGCCGGAAATCGTCACCAGTCAGGAAATGACGTCATTTTAGCTCCTTTGACTCTACGTGCACCGTCTCCGGACTCGGTGCTTCGGAGCTTGACTCCGAAGCCCCGGAGTTACGTGCACCGGAAGTGACTTTTGGCCGTCCAGCGGAAGGAGTCAGTGACTCCTTGACTCTGGGGCCGCTACTGAACGCGCCCATTGCCTGAGCTATTTTATTTTTAGTAGTAATAAAGTGAAACTAGGTCTTGGTTCAACGTTGGCGCAAATTTATCACAATTTTGGCGAAATACAGCAAGATGCAGTGCAGGTAAGAAGCACTTTGGCGCAGCAATCGCATCACTACGGTAGAAACCGCGCGGTCACCGGACCAATCAAACGCCAGACTTTCCTCACCTGACCCCGCTCTCCGCGTGAAGGTAAATAGACGGGAGGGTGATCGCGTGGCCAAACATAGGCGCAAGAGTGGTTCGTCGAGCAAGCGGCTTGCACCGCAGTGTCAGGTTATGGGGCCAGCGAAATCGACGGCGCCAAGCGGCCAGAACAGAAAGCTGTGGCGGTGAGTTTGCTCTCCAGCCTTCTCGGGCTAAGCAATTGTTCGCGGCGCCTGGCGGTCAAATCACAAAGCCTTGAAAGTGGGCTCAAAAACGTGCCATGAAAACCGCCAAAGGGGTGTCGCGAGATGTTTGTCGAATCTGAGGTTCGGCTGATTCCGCGAACCTTCGCATTTTTCGCAACATTCGATGAACAGTGCCCGACTTCTCCACAAACTTTAGGCATTTCGGGGAAAACAATAAGTTACGAAGTAGGTTTTTTTAACGTTTATACTTTTAAAGGTTTAGTGAGTTTATTAATGTGAAAAAATAGAACTACCATCCCAACAAGTATTACGTTTTTATTGCGCCTGGTGGCGTTCGCTTTTTTTATATATAAATTGTCGCGCAGGCGCAGAAAAGTTTAACTTTTGACGAACTGCGCGTCAGAAGTTCGGTCAAGCCGAACCTGGTCGAACTCTAACCTGGGCGGGTTCGCGACGTCCATATTCCCAACTATTTGCAACTCCAACGGCGCGTACTTAATCCCATCTCCTGGCTCACATTTCGGTCGCCAGGCCGCGCCAGTTTTCGTTGCACACTTGAATAGGCGGCAATTCTTCGCTTCTCTACTTCCCGTCTTTTTCTGCTAAGTGGCGTCACGCCCTCCGGACTTGCGAATGTCTGTCACGTTTGAAGAGTCGTACCCTAGCAACTGCTCAGTAAAATCAGACTTCTACAAGCGGGACACAACACCGAAAGAACGCCCACCCTCTCACTCTGCATGGGTGGTATTCAATAGACGCCGCATTTGAATACGTGGTTCACAGCGCATGCTGGGAGCAACGTACTCAAATGCGGAAATTCGCTACGAAATTCGTCACGGGTTACGGCCGCAGAACGCAGACGCAGCATATTTGCGCTTCACTGTGCGATATACACGCAAGAACCCGCTACAAACTCGGGTGTCGCGGAAACCAATAGCGCTGATTGCGGACATCACAGATTGCGGATGCCACAGATTCGCGTTGCATAGTTTGATAAACACGGGAGACCGCTAACGGACTCGCGTATCACGGGAGCCAATGTCGTGCGCGCCAATCGCGGGCAAGAAATAAAAATAAAAACACGGGAACGAGTTACGAACTTGCATGTCACGGGAACAGATACCCCAGATTGCGGACCCTGGAAGTTCGCGTGTCACGTTGCGATAAACAGAGTTTTCGGAACGATCTACTAAAACTTTCGAATGTGTTAGCGGTAAATAAAGAATTCAAATATAGTTGTCTATCCAAGAGTGAAAAGACGGAAGTGTTATATACTCACGAATCACGGGCGACATGGTGTTGGCCGGTGTGTTCCAGTTGAGACTGACGGAGGACGACGTGATACCCGTCACCCTGACGCTAGGAATTGACGGTGGATCTGATCCAAACGCGGGGGAAGAAAAAAAAAAAGAAAATCGGGGATTAAGGTGCGTGTGTTAATCGGTAAACCGACGCAGTTTCATGCCGTTAATTAAACAAATATACAAGTAACCAACGAGATTTGACTGATGCTTTCAGCAAAGTAAAGCGCCCATTTCAACGAATTGACGGGTAAGCATGCATTAATTTTGGTATATCCGGCAGTGAGCACGAACACGCGATCGCAGTTTTGCTTAATCCTTTTCCCATGGAATTGAAGGATGTTATCAAAATTAAGTGTGCGGTGCAAAGAGCTATTTTCGCGGCGCTATAACTTAACGGTAAACTTTGGTGCTCGCAGTAATGTAAAAAAAAGCGCCAATGCCGTGTTCTCTTGGATAGAATCGCGCAGTCTATCATTTTGTAGGAAAATAACTCTCGTGTCCAAAACTTAGCTAAAATAAACTATTATATTCGGGGCAAACATCTGTACTGTGGTGGACTACATAATCTAGAAAACACATAGGCACCTCGTTCATTCCGTTAACGTCACGTTGCTCCACGCGGAATAGGGATGACATCTCGCTATAGATAGCGCAAGCCACCGCCCGATCGGAAAGAAATAGCCGCTATCTGTCCATGGCAGCCATACAAGGTAAATCGCATCATTACTAGGTGGCGGAAGCGGCGCTCGAAGGCCGAGGTAGAGGTTAGCTGCCGATGTTAAAAACACGCTGGCTAGGCGGCGCAAGCCACCGTCCGATTTCGAGGGTTCTGCCATCCATCCACGTTGACATGTTATAGTAATTTTTGTCCTCGACCGTACACGTGCGCACTTCTTAAGTCGGCGATGCTGTCGGTCGTCTGGTGCATTCACGTACCCCCGTTGAGGGTGGCGCAGGACACTTCTTCGGAGGCCGGTCCGGAGTCGACGTCGTTGAAAGCCTTGACCGAGAAGGTGTAGACGGAGGCCGCCTGGAGTCCCCCGAACAGCTTGTGCTTCGAGTTGCGGTTCACGGTCTCGTGGCTGAACGGGGTGCCCTCCAGCTTGTAGCTGATGTAGTAGCCCCGCAGGTCGCCGTTCTGCTTGTCCGTCGGCGGGGCCTGGGAGCCGGGAGACTATCTTCAGCACTCCTTCGTTCAATGTGGCATTCTTATGAGGTCCTTTTTCACTTACGCTTATACCAAATGAAATACGAAAGCACAATCCTTAGAACCCACCCTTCTCTCCCGAATTGTTCCGACGCCCCTGTCTTAAGGAGTCGTTACGAACATAGTTACGCCGGTATATTTTCATGTACTAACTACACCACTAGTATCCCAAGGCCTTACCTCCCACGTGACCTTGACAGTCTTCGTGTCGATCGGTTCGCACTTGACGTTCATGGGCGGCGCTCCGGGCTCTTGAGGAAGACAGGACACGAAGAGATTCACGTCAGGCAGAGAACACCGCAGCGACGCTGCCATCTCAAGAAAGGCAGCCATGCCGGTTTCCCGCGTGTGCCTTCCCGAAACGCCTCACCTTCGGAGGCAGTGGTGAAGTGGACCGGGTCCGAAGGTTCGCCGAAGCCGACCGAGTTTTCAGCGAGCACGACCGCGGCGTACTCGGTGCCGGGGTGAAGCTGGCTCACCATCAGGTTGGGTCGGAGACCGTCCACCTCGCGTTCCTGGAGCACGCTGCCCTTGCCTGCGAGCACCGGGGACGCGCGTTCAGTCAGCGTGCCATCGTTCAGTTTCCCCGATGACTTAGAGATCGTACACCACTGTGAGTAGTTCATAGCAAGTCTATATCGTGGGTGTCTGGAACGCGTTTCTCATTGGTGCCTTTACCGTAATACTGCAAATCGCGGCGATCCTGGCGGTGAAACAGCAGCGGATGTGGAGACGGCAGATGCGTGTTCTTGCTTACTCCCATTTTGACGGAAACAATTCAGCAAACTTCGCGGGTTGCGTGGGTCGGTATATGTTTGCAACTCCAGCAGCGTGTATATAATCCCTTTCTTCCGTTTCAGATTTCGGCCGCCAGTTTTCGCTGTACACTTCGGTAGGCTAGGCGGTAGCTCCCCCCCCCCTTCTCGTCTTTTCCGCTGGGTGGCGTCACCTCCGCTATTTGCGAATGGGACGCTATGAAAACGCCAGCCGGAGACGCATTTCAGCCAAGGATTACTTTTCTACTCACTGGACTTTCTCCAGTACCGGACGAGGTACCGCGTGACCGCCTTGCTTGACTGGGTCCACTTGAGCTGGACGTACCGGCTGCCTCGTTCGGTCACCACCACGTTCGAGGGACTCTCCGGGGGTTCTGCATGTAATAGAAACGTCCGTTCGATGATCATGATGGTGAGCGCTATCTCTTTTCGGAAGTTTGGAAGGTTTTGAGCACGCTAGTCAGTGCCGGTATATAACGCATTCTCTACGAATAACTTTCAGGTCGTATAACTTCTTAAGGCATTACTAAGATTTAGAGGAACACGAAAACAACGAGGCATGTCTTATTCTTTCTGTGTGCAACAACTCAACGCTCGTCGGTCGGCATCACTAAAATTTGTTCGAAACTTTTTTTTTTTTGTCAGCAAGGCGACAATGTTTGCCCAGTCCTTGTAAGTGAAAAAAGCTATTTACTTTATCAAGACTTGATTATGTTTAGCAAACTTCATACATTTGCTGATAAAAAACTATTCAGTAGTGAAAAAAATGTTACCTTGTTTTTTCCCATTCCCCTTCCACCGATACAAATTATTAGCTTAAGGGATAACTCTCTGCAATGAAGATATCTAAAATGATTGAACGGCGCGCTTCAGTTTACTGTGGAACATTTTCCGCGCAACTGCAAAACAATAACGAAACTATATCAATAGTTTACATATAGATACGGGCTATCTTAAACGGAACACCACGTGCCGCACACTCTCGTACCCAGAACGACGAGTCTGAAGACGTCCCTGGTCTTCCCGTAGTCGTTCTTGGCGATGCAGACGTACTGGGAAGCGTCCTTCTTGATCGTGTTGTGGATGACCAGCACGGACTGGACTCCCGTCGGGGTCACGTCCTCGTGCGTCTCGTACCTGCGGGGGCAAGTTCCGTCCTTTCCCGCGCACTGCCTCCGATATTGGAACCCCGAACGAACCGTGCATGGCCGCGTAACTCCCTTACCTGTCGACAGATGGCACCAGAGGTGCACCGTCTTTCTCCCAGGTGACCAATAGAGGGTGCTCGCCAGTGACGTCACAGGCGATCTTGGCTATGTCTCCGCGCTTGACGGAGACCTCATTGGACCCCTTGGCGATTGCCGGCGGTACTGAGGGCGAAGCGCGTGTGACAATTGCTCATGCAAATCAGCACTGTCGAGATGATGATGATGATGCCTCGCGGCCGATAAAAATGGCAACGCACTGCACAGACGTCGTATTTGGTATTGCGTGCAGTAAGTGCATTGGTGCTACGCCAGATGGTTTGCGTGGATTTAACGCCACCAGGTTATCGAATGCACAGGCACATGCTTGCAAAGAATATATATAAAAAAAACGAAAACCGAAGCACGCTTTATACTTATATTTTACACTTTCTGGCTGTATAGAGCAACTCACTGTTAAAATACAAACGCGTGTGCTCACAGCAGCTGACGTCAGGACAAAGCTCCCGCATTGGAGTAGACGTCAGAAACATAAGTTTGTCTATCTGTGCATAGACAGAATGACCCAGGTACGCGCAAAACGCAACTACCTCGCGTTCTCACCGTGCACGGAGACGGAGAACGTCTTGCCGAGGGATGGCTCGATGCCGTTGGCCACCTCGCAGCGGTACACGCCGGCGTCTGCCGCCTCGACGGCCTCGATGACCAGGGTGCCGTTGTCATGGATCCTCTGGCGACCCATCGTGTGCAGTGGGATGAACTCGCGGGACCCTGCATGCCACCAACGGGGTCGAGAGAGACGATGACGAACGCACCCTTTCACGTGTAGTCTGAATTTCCCGCCATACGCGAAACTGGTTTGGCAACAATGGCTAAAATCGAACGTCCACCTTAGCGACCCGCTTGGGCAGCTTTTGCATGTCCGCGCTCCGTCCATGCAGCTTCTCGCGTTTATCACGGGACGGCTCTGCTGAGCCGTAGCAGTAGTATTACACCAGTAGTAGTAGTAGCGGTAGTTAAAATATGTAGTTGTACAGTAGTAGTAGAAATAGACGTAGCATAGTAGTAGTGGAAGCAGCAGTAGTATAGTAATACCGGGATATAGCCTTACACAGTAAGAGTAGTTATAGTATATCAATATAGCAATAATGTGAGTAGTAGAACTGTAATCAGTCAATGAATCACTTGATTTTTATTATGCCTTCGAACATCTGGCGGGCCTTAAAGACGTGCCAAGCTGTTCGGGGGTCAGAACTTTCCAGCCTCTCATACATATAACTTGTATAGCAGAGATAGTAGTAAAACCAGCATTGATATTGCAGTAGAATATTTATAATAGCAGTAGAAGTGGATTTACTAGTAAACCGAGGGACATTTCGCATGCTCGTTGTCTGTCTTGTCAACGCGCAAGTGGTGTACTGTAGTGAAGCGACCATTGAGTAGTAGGCATCGCAATTTTGCATATTTTGCTTCGCCGCAGCGCACCCGCGTGCTAAGGGGAAAGTACTCCTGCAGAGCGGGACGTTATACAAGGTACCTGAATAACACTAAGGCTAGTATGTATGATAGACTGCGGTAATCTCACGATATTTTTCACATTCGGGATTCGTCAAATATATTTGAGCACTGGGAGGAAACGTTTATGGGCTGCTCTATATGTTTATTATTCGTGTCAACTCTCGTTTACTACCTTTATATGGGTACCACCATTTAATGGCACAGAAAATGTAGTAAATTAAAATTAAATTATCTGGAGTAGTAAATGCAAGCCTGAGATTAGCCTAAACAAATTCGGCGGGATTTTTTTAAGGGTACATTTTTATTGTTTACATAATAATTTTTGTTATCGCGAAATTCTGCTTAAAAATTGTAATTGCTGATCATAATCGAATGACCAAGGCTTTGTCATTTAAGAGCTGCAGTTTTATAAAACATTTAGAACTTAAAGGAAACGTCAATTTGGATGTTCTACATTTTTTATTTATATATTATTTCATTGAAATGTGCTATTTGGTCTAAACTTGATTTCGTACCCAAGATAACCGTGCATAGAAGTGTGTACTGCCCTTATCAATCAGCATCTTGTTACCGTGCCTCTATGCGTAATTAAACTGTTAGCTAGGGAATCGACCTTGCCATGCTGTTCATGTAATTTAAAGGTTGCACGGAAGCAGGAAGGCAAACAAGCGTATAAATCTAAACACGATATTCAAACTAGTATAGTGAAGATAAAAAAAGGTCTCCTTTTGCTCCAAAAATATGTTTTGCAGCTCCAAAAGGTGTTCCAAAATGACCGAGACCGATCACCTCATTGTCAATACAATAGTAGTAAATCACAGTGGTAGTGCTAGTAATACGGTAGTAGTACAATCGTGCTAGTAATAACATAGTGATATAGCAGCATTAGTAGTAGAAATATTAGTAAACCTAATATCAGTACAGTAGCGTACTATAAAAGTAACATATTATTGTTATTTTCCTACATTTCTGAAAATTCATCCCGTGGGCTTTCTGGCGAGGCACCCGCAACTTCATAAAGCGTTCAGTATTTGACGAAAAACGCTTGCTTCATGTCTGTTCACTCTGCAAACATTTGATACGCGGCTTTAACGTGATCAGAATGGCTAGATATATCCGAATAAGAAAAGCTGTTTAATTTTGTATTCCGCGACAACATGCATAACCACAGTCTCCCATAAATAAATAGAAGCCCCGAACAAGAGCCAAAAAGCCCGTACAAGGCAAAGAATGTAGTGGAGTGTTCGCGAGGCAGAATGCAGTTCATCAATAACAATACAAAAAACATGGTTTCGTGACCTTTTTTTTTTTTACTGTTCTATTTCTTAATAATTTGTGGAGTTGTTCTGTGGACAAAAAGTTAGGGCGCAAACAAGCTGGTGAAGGTTTAGCATTTTAGACAAAACCCCGAGACTGGGGGAAAAAAGGACAACACCCCAGTTGTGTGTGTCCTCCTCCTCCTCCTCCTCCTCCTCCTCCTCCTCCCCCCCCCGTCTCAGGATTTTGTCTAAAATGTTCTGTGACCTTTTGCAGACTTTGCAGACTTTTTCTTAATTTGTTTTACCCTTCTCGCTTAAACCATTCATTGGCCTACAGTATGCAATGATTAATTACTGAATAATTTAGCAGTTAAAAGAAGCACAGTCTCGGGTCGTCCATAGTAAACTTCTCCCCGCACATGAAGAGCGCGTGCGGAAGTCGCATGGTTCACTTCTGGATGGCGCCCATGTACCCGCGCGTTTGAATTGTTGGCGGCCCTCTCCGTCGCGACACGAAAACTTAATCGGACCGAGTTGGCAGCCCACCAGCCAACGTCGGGAACGCGGGCGTTCAGTCGACGGGAAAGAAGCGCCTCACGCCCGCCTCCACCCCGACGGAAGTCTTCGACACGTTCGTGCTCTCGTCTCGAGTCGGTCGTCCGTAAGAATATGGACGGCTGCCTTTTCACGACGGCTGGCGGACGTTGTGATACGCCGTACGCTAAACGAAGGTCCGCAGTTCACGCTGGACGACACATTTGCGTTTGAGCAATAACACTTTAGATCTGCCTATATTCTAATTTTTTTAGTATCATATTTTTTTTTCACCGTAAGTCGGCGCGCTGGTCAGGTAAGATGGCGGACGAAAGGAGGTCGTTTTTGTCGGTCAGCACGCGGGCCACCATAAATTTCTTGCACCCCAGCGTAGACTCGCTGTTACATATATGAAAGCAAAGCGATTTTTCGACGTTAAAAAAAACCCTCTTCTAGTCAGTGCGTAGGAACGACACGGCGGAAGGTAAAAATAATTACTGGAAACGATGTTCTATGCTGTCTACGAGAACCAAGCAGCGATAGCAGACGACAGAGTCAAAATAGCCTCCTCTATTGGGCTTCTCGGCGTTGCCGCTACGCGGTGTTGATTTCGCTGGAGTCGCCAATTCGCAAATCGGGAAAGGTTCCAGGGCTACCGATAGGGGGCGCCGTGTGCCAGTGCGTTTTCTATTCCTAAGGAGTTATGAGCGATTGCAACTCAGTCGACGACACTCAAACGCAAATGCGCGAACCAGCCTCTAGCGTGCTCCGGTGCCGACGATACACCCAGAGTTTTAGCAGGTCGTTTCGATACCTCCGATAACGATACACGATACGATACGTGCGCAAAGGCGTCAGCGGCGTATCGGGGATCGTTATCGGAGGTGTCGGAACGACGTAGTACTAAAACTCCCCACCATCAGAAAGACTCCCGCGCGATCAAACTAAATATTACTTAAATTCGGGCTTCTGCGTCTTTCGCTTTATGATGACGGTATATGAGCAATAGGCTGACAAGCGTGCTTGGCTTTGGATGCCAGGTGCCGCAGATCAACGATCTTTCCAAATTGTCAATCTGCTTTCTTTATATTCAAAGAAAAAAGGCAAAATGCCTATCATATCTTATATATGGTTCTTGCGTATGGTATTATGGGATACGGGTCGAATAGGTGCATTTTCTATTCTCAATAGGGCTGTGTTAAAAAATGTTACCTCCATATTTATTAAGTATAACAACGACGGAGTTCAGCGCCATAAGCGAAAGCCGCTCACCCGTCAGCTGCATCTTCCAGGCGGTGCTGGGCTTGGGGTAACCCACCGCTCCGCAGGGCAGGTACAGGTCCTTCCCTTGGATGGCTTCGGCATCGGCGGGCTCCGCCGACCACACCGGGGCAGCTGCGACCACACAACAGAAACAGCCTACGTTAGAACCACAACAAGAGGTTGACCTCTTCACAGCTCTATCGACCAACAGACTGTTTACAAACGAGTTCGCGTTTCCCCGCCAGGGAATTGAGTTGGTCTTCATGCGTGCACGCAGATCGCAGAGCGGTTTCTGCACGGGTCTCGCGAGCAATTCAGACATCCGGTATGAGCATAGATGATGGAAGTCATTTCTTAAAAAGATACTGAACCGAAATTTGAATTTCGCAAACTAAGGTCGCAGAAGCGTTGAATGGGACGCTACGAACTCCAAAACATCAGTCATACAGCGATATCTCAAACGGATGGCCGTAGATTTGGAAAAGAAGGACGCTACCAAGCGAGGTCTATGGCGTCATTATCATCCTGGAAGATTAGAGAAATAGGGGAAGCGGCCTCTCTCCTCTCCTCCTCGCTTCGTTTCATCAGCTCGACGGGGCGTAGCGAGGAATGGGAATGAGAACCGTGACGTGACTTGTCTCGTCGGCCTCGTCGGCCGGGTTCAGTCGCGCACTTCTTTTTTTAACAAAAATACGGCAATTCGTTAGATAATCGCCAAATGAGTGAAGTCTATGGGTTTCCCAGCGCCCCATCAGTCCAGCCTTGTTTTGTGAGCTCGAAATTTCGGTTCAGTATCGCTTTAAGTGTTCCAGAAGAGTTATCGTACGTGTTAAGACATGTCCTTGCGTGTTCTCCCATAAACGAGCCATTCGGAGTACACGCAGTCGTCATAACGGTTTCCATTTGGGTCTCGCGAGTCAATGAGACAAGTCGTTCCACGAACATATCTCACGTGTGTTTTCACGTGAAAAGAAACAAGCTATACAAGTACGATTTATCCACATGGGCTTCTATACAAGTTTGCACGCAGTCAGCATAGTGCTGTAACAGTCATCAAATATAAGGTTTTCCTTTGTGTGCTTGCGGTACTGATTCTTGCGTTATTTGCTCATCAGCACGCTTTCGTGACAAAAGAAAAAAGTATGTTTTCATACAGATCCGTAGTTTACAGTCGCGAAAGGTCGTACAGATCGTCAAAAGGGACGAAGAACTATTAGCGTTTACCGGTTGTAGATAGGTACAAATCAATAAACGCAAAGGGTGATAAATCTGAAATGTGAAACTCTTTTTCGTCCACCATAGCGATGTCAGCAATAAAACCACACGCGAGAGACGCGGCTAGCCGCTTCCGGGTTTTAATTAGACAGTTTTGTTAAGTGTCTCATTAAAACGAGGAGTGTTTGAGCCAGGTCTTCAAACCTGAAAAACACGTGTTAGAATCTTGCAGTTTCGTGAGCAGTTCACATGTCAAGTGTCGAACAGGCAATAGCACGATCCACTAGCATGCAACAATTGAAATCATAAATGGCTCCCGAGAGAGAGCTGAAAAATATGATTACTTACGGCTTTCATCGATGGCGGCATCACTCATGACACGAAGAAAAACATAAGCAGAGAACACTGACAGAAACAGAATGGCAGCACGTTTCTGAACACGTTCGCTAGGTGGCGCAATCTGCCTCCCGATTCTGGCTCCAGCCACTAGATTTAGATTACCCATCCATTCGTTCCAATCATTGGACAAAGATACAGGAAAGTTTGGAAGCAGGCTCGTTTTATTTGTATAACGAGTTGTTGAGACAATGTGTTGTAGAAATTGACAAAAAAACGATTCCAAAAATTGCACGCTTGGTCTCAGCCGACAGGCTAAATAATGACATTTCGCGCCGCGTTTTGGTGACATGCTCGGTTACATGATTATGTTTGGCGACATGATCATGTTTCAAGCATGTGCACTGTACGAATGTGTAGCGGTCGGCCAGTGTCCACGTACCTTCGACGTACAGAGTGGCAGAAACCGTCGAGACGCCTGCGGCATTGCGCGCCATGCAGCTGTAATTTCCAACGTCTTCGGGTGAGATCTTGTTGATCGTGAGCAGGGCGACGTTTTCGACGACAGTCGTCACCGTCACGCGCTCGCGGTCTCGACTCGAAATAACGTTGCCGTCGTGAAACCAGGTGAACGAAAAAGGCCTGGTTCCAGCGACCGCGATGCAAGACACGACTGAAGTTCCTCCCAAAACCGAATTCTTCGAGAAGGAGAATTCTTGCAGCACTGGCAACGCTGGAAAAAATAAAATGAACAAACAAAAAATGAAGGCCACGAGATTTTTATCTTTAAACGACAGAACGACTGTAGTGTTATTCTTAATTTAAACAAGTCGCAGAAACATTCGTTTCGTAATGTTAATGACCTCGTTATGGATAAAACAGTTATGGTGCAGGCGAGGCGATGTGAATTTGCCATTTTCTGAAACCACATGAGACTGCGCTGAGAACGAGAAGAATCACATGTGGAAGAGAAAGGATCAGAATGACAGAAGATAAACGTTTCGAATTACTTTCATTGTTTGCTACACGGCGCTAGGCAGAGCAAAAGGTATTCTGGAATACAAGTAGTGCGATACATACAACTTAAGGTCAAAATACCGATAATGATATATACATTTGTCTTTTATGCAACGGGATACCCTTGATATACTTTCTGTGAAACAGGAAAAAAAGTATCCCGGAATACAAATACAGCCGTCACAGAACGTCACCTTTATCAGCTTGCCCCAAAAATAAAAAAAAAAGAGTGCTGTTAGAAAGTTCACACCGGCTTGATGGAAAGCACACGAACAGATATTTTGGTGTGAACCCTGTTTTATTGTGCTGCTTGTAAATGCTTTGCGATTCTGGGTCTTGGTGTAGGGATTTCGGGTATTAAGACAACGACAAATTTAAGTAACGCCATTTTGAAGTCACAAACGTTTTCAACCAGTTTTTACAATAGTCAATGTCTGCAATTAATTAATCCCAAAAGCGAGGAAATACGTTTCTACTTCTCTTCTCAAAAATAGCAAATAGAAAATGATAAAGATGGTGAAATCGGGTAGGCTTACCGGGCTCTTGGGCAGAACTCGCCGAACCCCAGCATGCTGCGAACAACGCGGAAACTAGTAACGCGCCGATCATCACGCAGGCGAATAAAATCGTCTCCGCTCAGAACTGTCTGCTTTGCCACACGGTAAGTCGTACACGGTCGACTGGGCGACTTGCAGAAGCCGTTCAGCTCTACCGACTCGGCCTCACAAGTCGTCGTTTGGAACGAGAAAAATATATATACAAATCGCGACCGAAAACGAAACGGAGTTGCGAACGCGGCGGATAGACAACTAGCGCCAGGTAGGGGAAGATAGAGTAACTACGTATGAGAGTCACTACATCCTTGGCCGTATTGGGAAGGGCACGGACAACCGCACATCGATCCATGCCAAGCACACACTCTGCCATTCTGTTGTGCAGGGTACCAATAATGTGTGAGCATAATGCGAGCTCTGAAAACAATTGGATATCATAAAACGATTTGTCGAAAACACGGACAGTAAAAAATACTGGGAATAAGTCGCCTTATTCCCTTCGAAGAACGCCGCTGCTATGAATTAGCCGAACGGTTCCTTTGACGTCAGCAAGACCACTCCTCGCCCCATTCACTGTCTGCCTTCTTCATTATTTATTAAAACATGACAATTCGTTTTTAACGCCTAACGAAGAACATGACAACGACCGGACACTCCAGTCTCATCTAAGGTGAGACTAAAGGCAGATCTTTTGAAACACGTAGGAAGCAGCCTCTGAAGCACCCCAATGCTTTAGAGGCTTTAATGGTGTACTATGTAGTAACGGAGGGAGCCCCCAAGTAGTCGTTTCCAGACCATAATGGTCACCAACGCGCCCATTGTTGTCTCGAGGTTGCAAATATATTAGACGAGAGGGCGCCGCGTAACGTCCCCTTGGCCTTATGTTATGCCTCTGGGGACGAATACCGTCCCCAGAAGACCAAGCACGCTTCCTGAAGAGGTCACAAAAAGAAAGTTAGAAGACTGGTGGAGGTAACCGTCCCCAGACTTGAGCATGAACGCTGTTCAAGCCCGCCCGATCCAAAGGGAACAGCCGCATCCTCCTCCGCATCGTCATCTCTATATTGTGGCTGAAGACGTCCATTGTTGGCCAAAACCAAAACGGTAAATACGCTTCCGGTCTACGCGACGGCGTGTACCTGTCATCGTCAGGCTGGCGGTGAATCTGTCCGCGCCTCTAGTGTTGGAGGCGACGCACGTGTAGTTCCCAACGTCTTCGGCGTCGACGTCTCTGAGCGTCAGCGTGGACAGGCTGTCCGATTGTCTGGCGACGCTGACGCGGTCTTCTCCGTTGCCGATTTCGCGGCCGTTCTTCAGCCAGCTGAGGGCATGCGGAGCCTCGCTGCCGCGTTTGACGGCGCACATGACCATCGTCGTGTCGCCCAGAGATAGATCCGGCGAGAAGCTGAAGGCTTGTACCTTGGGTAACTCTGAAACGAATGGTTCGAAAAAAGAAAAAGTGTTATCTGCTTACAACGAACGAACGTCAGACAATTTAAAGGTTCCGCGTTTATTTTAGTATACGTATCGGTTAATGCCGTATAGAAAAAAATAATTAGAGAATTACTTTAACACCAAAAATAAATCAACGAAAACAGAGAGTATTTATATATCTTTGGGAAGAAAGATGATTGGCACCCTAGAAAGCAATGCCCGGCCTCTCTTCCACGCATGGCGCGCGGTAAGCCAGTCACGGTCCACACAACGTCCAGCGAATGACGGACTAAACCAATCATGCACAATAAATGCGGTATGAACCTGCGCTTTTTTTTTATTTTTTTGACGTAAAATGTATTTTTGGTTAGCTTCTTCGAATTTTGTTCGTGAACTCGTGGCCTGTTACGTCCTATATAATGCAACGCGCGGAGTGTTGCATCACGGGACGTCACGGACCTACACGCACCGATTCAGTTTCTCCACTAAATTTAGCGGGGAAGTTGAATTGATGCGTACGTCACGTGACATCAGGTGACGTGAGGTCAATTTCCCCGCTAAATTTATCGGGAAAAT